GCCTGGAAAAGGGGGGTTGGATGGAGTTAATAGTGAATCATGAATGAATGATGATGATTTTGTTTGTTTTTTTTTGGATGAAGTTTTCACATTCGAAGTTGGGAGGTTTGTCGACTTGACGGAAACAAGAAAGTGAAGGGGGTGAAGTACCCCGACATGTCACTGTGACTTGAAATTCGGTGGGTTATCCCACATAATAAAGATGTAACTAGTACCAGAGACCACCAACAGCATCGGGCGGGGGTATGGCTTAGGCGTCTAAGCCGCAAAGGTTGCCCGCATGTTATGTAAGCAGTCACCAGGCTTGAAATATTGTTAGTGGTACTACGGCTACCCTATCACGTGCCCCCCAAACATATTGTGTTGCTCTCGCGTAGTTAGTTTTAGTAATGACAACAACGTTATCCTCCCACAGGGTTATGGCCCTTATAAGCTACGAAAGAGCGAAATAACGTGCTAACTACGTCTCCACGCATTGTTAAAAGCGTGCCTAGACGGCTTGTTAAGTGATTTGAACCTAATGGTTAATCTGAGATCGGGTGGAACGCCTGATTTAACGAAGGACTACGTGACGACGCGTAGAAGAAGAAGTCCTCAAACACCGGAGGCACAACAAGAAGGACTGGACGCAGGTCTACCAACACCTGCAACCAACAGAAGGGTGATAGCACCAGAGGCATTTGAGCCTGACGAGACAATCGAAGAAGAATCGAACGGATCAAGTATCGAATACGAAGACCCAGTTGACAACAACGAGATGTCGGATAACGCGGGTGGCTCTAGTAGTCGTGATGATGTGAGTGAGGAAACTCGCATGAGATTGGAGATCGCGAGACTCCAGCATGAAGTCCAACAGATGAAAGCAAGTAGAGGTGAACCCTCTGCTAGTGATGAGAGCATCAGTGCAGATCTAGCAAACTATCTGCAGAGAAAAGGCAGAACATCTGCTATTGTGAAGGTTCTTAATGAATTCCGTGATCAAGTGAGATTCATAAGGGAGCCAGTTATCCTCACTGGTTTTGTGAATTATTCAGTGTGGAGGGAAGAGATCCTCCTCGCAGCGAGGCAATCTCATACAATTGATATCATAGATGAGAGACAACTTGGACCCAAAGAGGATGCCAGTGCTGATATGCAACGGCTTTGGAAAGAATGCAATATGTGGCTGTATAACTACATGTGGTTTGCAATCACTCCGCAAGCAAGATCCTTATCTTGTTACCACCCAAGGAACTATCTGCCTATGCTCTGTGGACAGCTATAGAAGATATCTTTGCTGGGCGGCCTGCCAGCAATTCCAACACTGCCAGCAATGCCAACGACGCCAACGATGATGTTGGTGATGATATCAGCGATACCAGTGATGATAGCGGCTACGGCAGTGTGGATATTGATATGGATTCCAAGATGGAATGTTTGGATGGATCAATGGAGGACAATCCTACAAGTGATAACAATCCTACAAGCGATAACAATCCTACAAGCGATGACGATCCTACAAGTGATGATGATCCCACAGGCGATGATGATCTTGATACTGATAGCGACCGTGATGTGGATTGGGGGGGCGATGGGCACCCTATATCTATCAATATTATTGTGCGAAGAGTGATCTATGGGAAAGGATGGGTGGTAGATGGGGCAGTCCCTACCACAAAGAACATGGATATCTTAACTGGTAAATGGGTGTTTGATCGCAAATTGAACAATAAGGGAGAGACAATCCGGTTTAGAGCTCGCTGGGTGGTTAGGGGATTCCTTCAACAGCAAGGAGTCCACTATACAAAGTCGTACGCTGCGGTGGTATCAGGACCCACGTCCCGGAGCTTATTCGCGATTTCAGCAGCAAAGGGGTGGAAAGCCAAGGCGATCGACTACGTCTCCGCGTTCTTGAACGGCATACTACCGCAGCACGAGATGGTATATATGCAACTGCCTACAGGGATTAAGCACGGCAGGGGGGGCCTGGTTGGCCTGCTCCGCCAGAGCCTTTACGGGATGAAGCAAGCAGCGAGGGTGTGGTATTTCCTTGCGACGGAACACCTCACCACTCTAGGATTCAAAATCTCGCCGTACGATGGCGGATTCTTATATCACCCTATTCGCAAGATCTACCTGACATTGCACGTCGATGACTGTCGGGTAACGGGACCCCAAGAGCAGCAATTAGACTGGATATTGGCAGAGATTGCTAAAAGGTTTGAGACAAAGGATGTCGAAGAGAACAAGCCCTACCTTGGAATGGAAGTCAAACGTCAAATGAACGGCGACCTAGCGGTTACCCAGAACCGTTATATCGATGAGATCCTTGAGGATTTTGGAATGGACAAGGTCAACCCGGCCAGCACGCCGATGGCGGCCGGCATACGCCTAGAATTCTCACCAGATGAAGATAGCGGGTTAGATGACGATTTTACTGCTACTAGATATCGTCAAGGCTTAGGATCGCTGCAGTATTTGGTGTCAAGCAGCAGACCAGATCTGGCATTCGCGGTCAACTACCTCTCACGTTTCAACTCGCGTCCGCACAAGGAATGCTGGGCAGCATTAAAACACGTCCTACGCTACGTCAAGAAAACGAAGGATCACGGAATCCTATACAAGAAGGAGATGATTGGGGGACTCAGTCCTGTCGCGTACAGCGACTCAGATTGGGCAGGGGCAGACCCCCAATACAAGTCAACTACAGGTTACATTATCCTGCTAAACGGATCACCAATCTCGTGGCGGTCGCAACGGCAGACCTCAGTTGCAAAATCAACCACTGAGGCGGAGTATATCGCGGCAAGTGAGGCAGCGTGCGAAGTGATCTGGCTGAATGACATGTTATTTGATGCTGGATTAGTAGAAGGGAAAGCGAAGGTATGCTCGCACCTGCGAGTTGACAACAAGGGCGCGATAGATCTAGCAAAAGGGGAGTCCTTGACAAGGAGGTCACGTCACATCGAGATCAGATACCATATCCTTCGCGATCTGGTTGAAAAAGGCGAAATCATGATGGAACACGTTGGTTCTACGGCCAATATAGCTGACGGCCTCACCAAGCCACTGGCAAGGCCTGCCTTCGAAGAATTTGTTAAGAGGATTGGCTTAATGGAAATTGGCAAGAAGGGGTGAAGGTAATGATGATACGGGAGTTTACAGATTTTGCTTGTGTTATCTTGTTTTTTACGGTTATTGCCATACGGGAGCCTATTCCCAAAGAGGAAATCAGGGTCTGATTCTTGTAATTAATTATTATTGCGTTTTTAGAAGAATTGAGCAAGGGGGGGGCCCCCGGGCGGCAGAGCTTTGGCGGCGCCGTAGCACGGGGGGGTGTTAGTGGTACTACGGCTACCCTATCACGTGCCCCCCAACATATTGTGTTGCTCTCGCGTAGTTAGTTTTAGTAATGACAACAACGTTATCCTCCCACAAATATATATTAGGCCACTAGGGCAAAAGAGCTCAATCACCACCAGCGCCGTGGTGGTATAGAGGGTACGAATCACCCAATCCAATCCCCCCAACAATATACACTAGTACTAACTAATGAAAAACGATCGATTCCAATGAGATTTTTCTCATTCTATTAAGCAAAGTAACTTAAAAAACTTCAAATAAGTGTAACGGAACCCAAAAGAACGAGATCAAAGGATAGCCATAATGTCATTTGAGCTGGGTGTTGGCACGGCTGATGATGGGACACTTAGCCAGCGCTCGGCTATCTTCATTGCCGGCCTCCAGACTTCACCCCTATTGTTTACCGGAGGACGTCGGCATTTCTATTAGTAACAATAAAAATTGCGGAGCCTTCATCAAATGGGAGCAGGAAATCATTACCATCTGGAAACGTACATGTGCTGGGGAGATTGTGTATTGAGGATCGGAAATCGCGACGTATAGCAATTAGGGATGTTAGTCTTTCAATCGAGAAAGCATACTTTGAGTTTCTCAGTGACATGCTTGCTGGACAGAATGTACTTTGGTCGAGTCTTTCGCTAGAAATCATGAAAGTAAGTGGGCTGGTAAAGATATATATACATTGCACTTATTGCCCCTAGCAGTTATGAGTATGCTACTAGATTTGTTGTGACATGCGCCCAGGGCGCCCCGGTGGTCCCTATGAGTTAAGAATTGATCCCATATATATTTCCACAAAATAAAAGCGTTGTGCTGATGGAAACGTCTATAGCTATTCTATTCCCTATCGAAGAGGCTGTATTCTTTACGACAGATCCCGATCTGTTGCTATTCTCTCGTCATCCAGTGGAAAAACTTTAGTGCAAGAGCTATCTGCCCATATCAAGAAATGCACAGGAAAAGAGATCCGTTGAGTTGATATAGCACGACACTTCCAGGTATGTGCCCCTATCTCCCGGTGATATCGCGCCTTCATCTGACAAATATCTCGATGGCAATGGCGCAGGCGTGGTTATTTTCACATCCGGAACGACCGGCCCTCCGAAGGGAGCAGTGATGATGAGAGCATATCTCCACGACACCTCAGGAGCAGTCGCTGACCATTTTGGCCTTTTCGACGAGGTCGCCACAGCCAAGGCCCATGATGCAGATGGCCTTATAAAACTGGTGATATTGCCCGCCGCGAAGGAGGCAACTATTTTATCCTCGGCCACGCTTCTATTGACATTATTAAAATGGGCGGCTATAAAATCTCCGCCCTCGATATTGAACGCGAGATTCTTGACCTTCCCTACGTGTCCCAGGTGATGATTTGTCTGTGTTGGCTGATGACGAATCCGGCCAGCGCGTCGCTGCTGTGGTGGGTTTAAAAATTGAGCAGACCACTTACAAGTGTCCGGGAAACGGCTGGGAAGTATTTTACACTGGATGATCTACGTGCTGACCGATGGAGAAAGTTGGCTGGCTATAAAATTCCCACTCTATTGAAAGTAGTTGTGCATGAAATTCTGAACACTGGCATAGGGAAGGTGGTGAAGGGGGTGCTAGGCCCTAAGTTTTTTCCAGTGGATTATGAACAGCATCCGGACGTACATACAAATGTGGTCACTAGTTAAGCAGAGTGTCCCAGACCCAAGATTATAGATGATGTAGCATATATACATGTATGTTCCATGTTTTGTAGTTGCCATTTCTACACGTGTTATTTTGTAGACTTTTCGATAGATCTAATGTTAAACTGAAGCTAGGACTTCATGGCAAAATTATGGCTCTGGAAGCAGAGGAGATAGACACATGTAAACTTATAACCTGGACGTCTAAATTTGCTCAGTTCGACATTTCGTCTGTCATTCCATTCATGAGGCTGAAGAGGAGCTTCAACACGAATCATAAAAAAGTATTTCAGGGTTGGATGTGCATTATATAAGATGAGAATAGCAAGGTAGTTTTAACCTTTGCTAATCCTATATCTTGACTTTAGTTACCCTACTTGTCTCGCGACTGTGCAAATAGCTGATCCTTGGGAATTTTTTAATGGCCTCTCCCCACAGTTCAGAACGCAAGACACCATAAACGCTACAATTTTTCGTCTCGGTTAATCGTCACTCGAACTTCAAACCACTGTTCTAGAAAAGAGAATGGAGAGATAAATAAAACCAACGAAAAGGGTAAACATACCCCATCTTCGTTTTCGGCGCCCATTTCTCTGCTAGCTCCATGGCAATATCGAACATTCGCTCCGGCTCAACAACGACATCGATAATAACACCATTAAGAGCTTCCTTGCCTGTCCACTTGTGGGCTTCAAGCAACATCTTACGAGCAACTCGTGCACCAAGTTTGAGGCGTGGGAGAGATTCGATACCGTCGAAATGAAGACCTCGATTCACGGGCGGCATAGAAAAGAAACCGCGGGGCTGAGTTTATCACACGGTAATCGTGGCTCAGGGCGAAGTGGTAGCCGCCCCCAAACGTGTGACCTGTCAGGGGGTTGGTTGTGGGATATGGAAAATTTAGAATGGAATGTAAGATTTGGATTGGCGGGGTCTTTGTTAGGCTTGGAAAGTTGTCCAAATTGACGATTCTCCCCTGGTTATAACCGCCCCCTCAGCGTTAGGACCAAGAATGTGATGCACCGTTTTGAAAGCCAGGGATGATTTCCTGGCAAAAGCAATAACTCAATCGGTTTTCAGGCGGTTTCTGCATGGTAATGACGAAAACATCACCATGTTTCGTAAGAGACAGTTAGAATAATGATATGAAGGCAGTTTCGCAGAGTACGTAATGTTGCAAATTATAACTCAATGGAGTATGTAGCTGGATAGGCCGCAGGAAAATATTAGCGGGTCGAGATGGAGCAGCGGATCATATCAGCCATGTCACTGAATTTCTCTTTCCCGTATTGCGGGGGAAAACAAAGACTACGTAGGTAGCGCAGGCCGGCGGAGGATTGGGTTGGCATTTTGCCGAATTCCCGAAATGCCGAGCCGTTTTGGTGGCGGGGTGGCAGCATCGCACAACTAACAATCCTCTGATATGGGAGAAAAGATGAGCTATCCTAGAATATTTTGATCGTGTGCTATTTGAACGCAGAGTGTGGGCAACCAACGTTCAGGAAACCAGGAATAAATTTACCAAGCTATAGCACTATTCCAGTCCCAATCTTTCAGAAGCCAGTCGCCAATCCCTGTGTATTGGCCGCAGAAAATATCACCAGTGAAATCCGTGGTGACCCTACTGGACGCGCTCTGCATCGGGTGATGCTCAAGAATGGTAGCTACGGGTTGGTATCCGTCCAAAGCTGTGGAGCCGGCTATTGGAGTTTTTAACTCTGCTAAGATCCCCGCCGTCATCATATCAGACGCACTACGTGAGGATTGGTCGTCGTAGATTCTTCGCTGGTCCAAAAGGTCCTGGATATGGTGTGTCAAAATGGCTTCTCCAAGCCGACACAAATCCGTACCAAAACCGCTGAAGTATGACAGTTGCTCTGGAGCGAGGCTCCCAATCAATTGCGCATCCTTGTGTCGTTGGGTCTTGCTAGCCTCCGCCTTCATCCTCTGTAGCGCATTTAAACTGCCAATTGCGGAAGGCCATCTGGTTGAGAGTTCTTTTTGAGAATTATATATGATGCGGAGATCCCCTCAGCCTTGGCCCAGAGGTGTGGGTATGGAAAACACGACAAAAGCCCTACTCCCGAGGCTAAAACATAAAAGGTAAATACTGGACCAAGAAAAAGGATTTCGTCTCGAGCCAGGAAATCCTCAAAAATACCCGCAACGAAGGATGACGCGAGCACCGCTGCCGGAGAGGGTGTGCTTGCAGGTGGTGTCGTTCGAAAAAGAATGGCGAGAACTACAAAATACAGAACGTGTAACTGACGGGCTTCGAAGCTGTACGGCGCCGGCACTAGCCTTGGGGAGGTTCCCTGATTGGGACTGGCTCGCTGGAAGAGCTGTAAATGGTCGGGAAGCTCTCGAGTCCACCAATAGAGTGCACCTTCGATATATTGACGTTTTTGGCGTGATAAATACTTGCGGCAACAGCATTGCGTTAGGTCACCCAATAAGGAAGCAAGTTCTACGTATGAAATAAAAATGGGACCATCTGCCGTCGACTCGTAGAAGTCTCCGTTATAAAGAGGTCGGACATCGCAGTCGTCAGGATTTATGGCGCGAGGCCGCCCATGACTTGCTGAGATTAAGCAATCTCTTGCCTACAATTGAACAAATTAGTTACGGCGTCCTATCATATGTTGACAGGGGTTTTAATAGAGAGGCAAATGCCCTGACTCAAGCTGTCCAAAAATTTTAAAATCGATTTGCACTAACATATAAAGTCCACCACAATCGTCGACGAAGCGCCGCATTTCGTCCTGGTGGTGGTTCTTTATGCAACCCGATCTGAAACGCCAGGCCAACTCCAATGCGGTTCCAAAAACCACTGGTATTAAGAGAAATATGCTCCGGCCCCTCAGGGTTATACCAATGCATTACAAGCACCGCAGTAATCATAGTAACCGGGTTCTTTTCATAACCTGACCAGAACAAGGCTTTAGCCCGACGGTAGAATTCGTTTGGTGATGCATAGGCAGCTACTGCTGGAGCCGATGACACTCTGCTACCTGCAAGGAATACCGCTTGGAGGAGCAGTAATGACGATTGGTTTCCGTGGCCCTCAGCCAGCCAGCTTCGTTCAACGATAGGCATCCATGGCGCACAACGCTTCATGAACGCGTCTATCAGACCTTCTCTAACAGCCCGTGGTGATAAGTCGAAGGCGTGCTGTAGCTGCAAAATACGAATATCCTCTTCCGTCAAACTCTCTGACGCGACTGCGGGGTACGATTTTGCCCGGTTTTCATTGATGGGGACTTCGCCGCCTAGATATTCTGATCGTCCGAGAAAACTTGAAGCGCCAGGACTCTCATCGTATGAACGTGACTCGGGCCGCTGTGGTAAAGGGACGCTGGATGTTATGTTGGTGTACAGAGTTACTCTATCTGTTTCGCGGAGGACAGATGTTGGAGGGGCAAGATGGGAGTTGGAAGAGGTGATTCGGCCTGGGGAAGACCCTGCAGTTACTGACGGGACATCTCCGGTGGTGATGCCGACGTGCTGGTAGGCATCCCAGGCTGCCACTTTTGAATCTAAAGCAGATTGCTTTGGCGATGAGGGCTGAGACCAGGGGGCATTGTTCCCTTTCGCAACTGGACTACGCTCCTTCACATCTGCAGTCGTACTAGTAATCTTACGTAGCTTTCGTTTCCGTTCCCGAGGGCTAGAAATCAAATGCGATCAACACTATGCTGGGGAGTGGGTATGAGAGGGCAAAGCACGCACGAGCATTCCCAGTGATTGCGGGAACAGTTGAGGCATTCTTTACTGTTTTCTGGATAGATGCAACGAATCTGCTCAAGTGGTTGAGGGAGAGGTTAGTGACGGAGGGCGATCAATACTAAGTTTCTCTGTTGTTAAACTGTGTAGGTCTGCTTTTGTTTGCACCGTGAATGAGGGATGTAAACATGCCTTTTTCATGTTGCAGGCGAGGCATGCAGATGCTTGCTCGGAGCCGGACGAGGCTGTGGGCTGCTTTGCCCAACACCGCTGGAGGCACATCTGGTTGAGCACTCATACCGCAAGATTGTAGTATTTCATCACATAAATATATGTGTACACACTTGGAGAAAAGAAGTGCCAATAAACTCCTGGAGTGGGCCGAAAAGCGAGGATAGGCACTGTTTTTGTCTGGGGTAAGGCTGAGATCCATTTCCCGAGATCGGATATGCGGGGATTTTACAGGCTTAATTGACATAGCCGGTTACGACAAGAGTAAGTTATGGACTAAATCTGAAGTGAGGACACCGCAATTTACATCATTTTTTCAAGGTGTAGTTATGGACCAGTGAAGTGATTCATGTGGAAATAAACATTGGATTTGATTTTATCATTATAATTCTCAACAATCCGAGGCATTCTTAAGTAGGATAGGATTTAGCTGAGCAGTGTCGCCCGGTTTTCAATGGGTAAAGGCCATTCTGCTAGCTGGTTTGAGTGAGATAGCAGTGGGACGAGAACCTAGTACGCCTGGCAAGTCTATCGCAAGTAAATGCAGACAGAATATTGTTGATATAAGCACATCTTCGGCGCAACCATAGCCAAGGAAAAAAGACTGGGTTGTAATTTGACATCCGTGCTAAAGCCACTGTACCCCTGAGTGGATCGTAGGCTAGAAAAGCAGTTGCACTAGTGGAATGATGAAACGGGTGAAATGAATGGTTAGCTAATTTAAGAGGGGTTTATATGGGGATTATACAAACAAGGGTATTAGGGTGATATTTATATTTGGAATAGAATAGTATTAGGACGTGCTCGTCTAGCTGAAATGGGGAAACGGAAAAGAGAATGAAGTAAAGATCGTATTCGTTATATCCTACAGTTCCTGATGATTTGAGATACGTGGTGGAGGGCGAAGGTTTCCTTGCTTGATTTGCTGGAACGCGAGGTCGAAGCGGGCTCCCATGAGCCATGCAGCAAAGATCTCAAAAGAATGGTCAGCGAATAGATTAAAAAATTTCGGAAGGGAGTAAAAATGTGAATATACCATGATTGCTGTAAGAATAGCCAGAATACCGAACAACGCAAGCATGATGTACATTATGTCTTGTCGGGCTTCGGCATCTAGTCGAGCTTGTTCTGCTTCTTGGGCGCTGGGTTCCTGTTTCGCTTTCCGTTGGGCACCCTCAACAGCTTGGGACGGGAAGATAGATTCGATGAAAGTTTCAACCTAGATAGTTGAAAGTATACATATATACATATATTAGCCAAACGCAAACTTTATAGATTAATCAGGAGGAAAGAACAACGCTGAATCCGACTAACCTTCCCACAGGCAATGCTGATTTTGAGGAAATTAGGGTCTTTGGGAGTATTTTTCTTGTGAATTTTTCGACAGTATTGTCGGAAAACATCACAGATAGCGCGAACATTTTGAGTGGACTGGAACATGAGTTGGCAGGCGGAGCCCTTGGTGATCTTAATATTTCGTTCAAAGATGGCCTCATTACGGAAGCAAAGTTCAAGAGTGGCAATAGCCATTGACTGAGGGATGGCACAGAAATTAAAAACACTCTGCTCTCTCAGGCCAGCGAGATAGAAGAGACATTCATCGGCGTGCCCAAGAGCATTCAGGATCATCTCCGAATTACAGTTGAGGGCAGCCTCTCTGTTTTCTCGTTTGAACAGGTCTTCGAAGTCATCCACGTGTTTGGACCAAATTTCCTGTGGCCAAAAGCACCTGTTGTCCACGTAATCTTCCTCTACATCACGGATGATATTTGTCTTTTGAAGGAACAAACCCATAGATATGAAAAGCTCAGTACGTTCCAAGAGAGCCGGGTTAGCAAAGCCAGCCTCCACGAAAAGCCTTGTGAGACCCTCGCCAACGATGCCGGCAACGTAATAACAATAGAGGTCATATTCTTTTACCGTTTTGACCTTCGCAGTATCCAACTCTGCTTTCCTGCAATAATCTGCCATGCCACTGCCCATTTTCTTGGTGGTGTCCTTTATGATTGTCCGATAAGCAGGTTTTATCAGCTTGAATTCAGTAACAACATTGTGAAACTGAACTAGCAGTTCGCGATCTTTCTCCTCAGGTCGGTTGCCATTGAACGACCAGCCATCCTCCTCCAGGATATTGTGGAAGCCGCGGAGAAGGGGCTCTTTTGTTTGTAAAGGGATTGAGGTGTCGTCTTCGATAGTATCCAGACCGCGTAGGGCCAAATAGAATAGGCAGACAGGGAGAAGTAGTTCAGGATGCAGCTCCATAATGACGGCGCTGAAGCTTCTGCTGGTGAGTTCTAGGAACTCGAAACATTTTTTCTGCGTTTCGGACACATTCTTCTCGTCTCTTTCGTGGACAGGGTTATGCCACACTTTCCTACAGAATTAATTAGTACAGAAGGCTGCGGGTAATGCATGTACAGTGGCTTGCTTCAGCTGCACATGAAGGGAGAGACCTCAATAGGGGAATGGCACTGACATGGAAAGGTCTATATATATATTAGGGTAGGCCAAGGAGGATGCCGGAGAAGGGAGGGGTTGGTGGGGAGTCATATAAAGTACCAATTTGTGATAAGAGTAGACGGGATGAGATGAGCACCCGGAGGAGCTTACCATTGGATGATTGACCTCAGTTCTTGAGGATGGACGAGATAATATATTGCATCTGTGAGGCCGACCATTGTGGTGGGCGGGTGGTGCAAGGGGACAAGAGCGAAACCAGAATGAAAATAACCTCGATACAAAGCTGGAGAATTAGAGCACTGATGAAGGAAGATTATGGATAACCAGTTGGAGGGAGGGGAAAGGGAGATAAGGGAGAGAGCGAGAGGATTCAGGGGTAGAAAAATGGGACAAGAAGTGTAGAACCCTGGCGGAGGAAAACATCAGGATGTGCTGGATTACATCAGCAGTGCTCCGGAGATTCGGCGAGTTGATTCCGGTCCCAAACATAGGTAGTAAAAGAATGCAGAGCCTCTGCTCCTGTGCCAGTTGAATCTAACGACAGCGGATGGTCGCTGCTGTGGGGTCTGCATATTCTGCTTATAGTCTATCCAGATATTTTTCTTTCCTTTAGCTTTTTTTGCTCAGCTCTCTTGACCCCGATAGAAGGAAAAACAAAAGCATCGGCTGTCACTCAGCCCCCCTGGCTGCTGGCGCCGGCCGCTCCAATATGGTGGCAGACACGGCCTACTATGACGTCTTGGGCGTCCCTACAAATGCAACGGAGATACAGATTAAGAAGGCGTATAGAAAGCTAGCCATAACGACTCATCCAGGTTTGTCCTTTGCGCTGCCCTCTTTCCCGTTTTTTGTCCCTGTTTGCCGCTGAACTTTTTCCTTGCTACTTTTCTGACGCAGAGCACTGCAATAGACAAGAATCCCGGAGATGAAACTGCCCATGAACGATTCCAGGCGGTATTTGTTCACTTCCCTTCTTCTGCCTTTTTCGCTCACACACGCCTCTTTCCCGCAATCATAAAAGGAAGAGATTGAAAATAGAAATAAAAGAAAATAAATAAAACTAAATAAAAATATAACGAAAACGAAGCAGTGTCCTAACCATTGCGTTGTCTTCTGCAGATCGGTGAAGCCTATCAAGTCCTCAGTAATGAGCAGCTACGGAAACAGTATGATAAGTTTGGTAAAGACCATGCGGTGCCTGATAGTGGGTTCGGTGAGTTCTATTGCGCCGGCACATGTCTACCTAATCCTACGTTGTATCTAACGCAGAGTTGCAGAGGATCCTGCGGAATTCTTCAGCATGATTTTTGGAGGTGGCGCATTCGTTGATCTCATTGGCGAAATTTCCCTCATGAAGGATATTACCCAGACCATGGATATCACGATGCAGAACGAAGAGGAGGTTGAGCAAGCAGAAAAAGCAGATCTAGCAGAAGCCGCAAAGGAAAAATTCAGTGTACAGGACAAGGAGGCCCAGGGACCTACGTCAGAAAGAACCAGCGGAGGTTCTTCCGTCCCTCGCCCCCCAGATCGCAGAGAATCCACGACTGTGCCAGATCTGAAAGCACCTCCAGCCGATGCGCAACCACAGTCAGGTCCTAGCTCCGGAGATAACACCCCTCGTCGCTACCTGGGCCAACACGCGATCATGGATAGATCGGATGAGGATGTGAGGATGGAGAATATCTCGGCGGAGGAGAAAGAGTTGAGGAAGAAGGAGAAGAAAAAGGGCAGTCTCACCAAGGAACAGCGGGAGCGATTGGCGGCTTTCGAGATGGAAAGAAGGAGGCAGCGGGAAGAACGGATCAATACCCTTTCCCAAAAACTTATAGATCGTATTAGTATATGGACAGAAACTGACATGGGCACGGATGTGACGCGCGCGTTTGAGGAGAAGATCCGTCTGGAAGTCGAAAACCTCAAAATGGAATCCTTTGGCCTAGAAATCCTCCATGCCATCGGCACGACGTATATACAAAAGGGCACTGCATTCCTGAAATCCCAGAAGTTTCTGGGCATCTCTGGTTTCTGGTCAAGACTGAAGGACAAAGGCACCCTGGCCAAAGAGACCTGGCATGCGGTTTCTACAATGGTCGATGCCCAGATGAGTGCGGAGCATATGGCTCAACTTGAGGAGAGAGGCGGGGAAGATTGGACAGACGAGAAGATGGCAGAACAGGTCAAAATAGTCACAGGGAAGATGCTTGCAGCTGCATGGCGTGGAAGCAAATTCGAGATCCAGAGCGTTCTCCGTGATGTGTGCGATAAGATCTTGAACGACAAAGCCGTTCGTTTGGAGAAACGTATTGACCGTGCCCATGCTCTTGTTCTCAGTGGGCGGATATACCAAATGGCACGTTTTCTCATATCCACCCATACACATATTCCTCCCACAGAAATTTCTAGTACATTGACTAACAGACAAATGCGTCCACAGGCTAAACGCACCCCAGAAGAAGAGGGTGATTACATGGCTTTTGAACAGTTGATGGCGGAAGCTACTGCTAAGAAAGCCAAGAATGCGAAGAAAAAAGATAGCAAAAAACCAAAGACAGAATCAGGCAGCGAGCCTCGTGAGCTTTCCGAGCAGGATACGTCAAACTGACCCTGATATGGCCCCGATGGAACTAAAGCATATGATTGACGGGTGTACGAAGGCGGGGGCTTCCTTATTAGAAATACATCATCGTCCCTCCATCGTCACTTGTCCCTGGACCCCGTCAATTTTAAATCCCCCCCCCCCCCGCCTCCAAAACAACTCCTTGGCATATATTTGGTAGACACGGAGATGTATTGTATTTGAGCAGAGATCAGAAAATGATATTAATAATGACGAGCATTTGAACGGATTTAATTCCCTATTGCATTGGAATCGACAGGTAATAGTAAATTGCGGGTATCACTGGAGTGAAGAGCAAGCAGCCGGTATGCAGAGTTGTGCCAATATACATTGACCGAAAAGGGACATCCAGTATCCAATATCAAGTCTAGAGGGAACGCCAATGAAAAAAAAAAAAATAAATAAATAAATAAATAAATAAATAAATAAACAAAAAAAATAAAAATAAAAAATAAGATTATAAACACAACAGAGAATGAAAAAAAGTTATACCCCCAAATTGTCGCTAGGGCGACCGGTAGAAAAAAAGGAGTAAATGAAGGAAAATAAAACAGCACATGAGAAAAACGAAGAGGAAGTGTAAAAGAATATATCTGGGTAAGTTAGGTGTATGGTACAACACAAAAGAAATGGTGATACGTATGCAGTGATGCAGTAAGGGTTAGTCCGATAGCCTGATATCAGAAGGAGTGGGGTGCTTGGCCATCGGTGGGGAATATAGTTCAGCTACCACAGATGTTGGGCTGAGCAGGCCACGGCTACCTTCTGTTTCGCCTTCTAGCTCATCGGGCGCAAGAACTCTGCCCCCAATATCAATGTCGCTGACACGGACATGATAGTCCAGTGCCTTTTTGGCTTCTTGGATTAGACTATCAGTCCACCCCAGGCAGCGCCTGATACTTTGATTCATCTGCTGGCTGTCGATAAGAAGTTGTCGATGTTTTGTCAGGTCAAGTAAAAAACGTTTCTCATCTCCAATTCGATGTTTTAAGTCGTGTTCGGTTGTGTGATTTATGTTTGCAGTCCAGGTATGGGAATGTGTTGATTCTTCGTCGCTGGAGCTTAAAAGGTCCTCATCTGAGTTCTCACTGCGATCGTCGTCTGTTGCGCTAATACTAGAGCGCGGTCGTCCAAGGGTTGACGAAATAGACTCCGTCATGGAAAGGCAGCCAGATCGGGTCAGCCGCCTGTAGCGGCGTAGCTCTGCACTCTGCTTCCTCAATTCCCGTTCAAGAGTACGGTTGATTGCCAACAAGGATGAATTACTGATCTCAAGATCAAGGACCTTGCGCTCTCGGCGAGCATTTGATGCCAGTTCATTCATTTTATCTATATCAGCATTGTGAGGCAGGTCCTCCTTGACTGGGCTATGATTGTCGGAGAGGGAAGGACAAATGGTATCCACAGATATTGAAGAGCCAGTGCTGACAATCCTCGAATTGGCGTCATGTTGGTTCACATTTTGCGAAGGCTGGTGGCTAGTCGATGCGAGATGCGGGATTCCGCCAAAATGTGCCACCAAATCCTGTTTATGACGTCTCCCATATTCCGACGTGTCCATACTTGTAGATTTTGAATGGGAAGAACGCCTGATGCTATCTAAGGACATGGCGGGATATTCATGTTGGGTTAGTGACTGTTGGTCTCGTCGGGCGTCAACGATCGGACTTGGTGTGGAATGAGAGCTTGCAGGCATTCGGTCATGTCGGATTATTTGGGAATCTCTGGTTAATGTGGGTGGTGGTGTATAGGGCTGTTTCGATTGTGGAGGAAATACGAGGTCCGGCGGTCTGAGCGAGGAAACGCGGGGTGCCTTTTCTGATGGGGTAGCCGGTTTTGGACCTTCCCGATGGGAGTTATCGGAAATGGTCCCGTCGGCATAAAGAAAGGTAGTTGGTGCATTTTGTTTCTGTAGAGACCCTGGTCTGGTGTCAAGATCGCGTGGGGACGGCGGGGATCGAGTATCGTTCACATGGAAAAACATGGAAGAGTTTGCGGAACTACCACATGATGAGGTAGGGCGGGAAGTCGATGCAACGAACTGCGTCTCGTTTGCGACACTCCTCGCTCTCGCTAACCGAGCTATCGATACAGTGGGGTTATTGCGCTTTGGAATTTCGTCGACTGGTGAGACAACTTGCGGGGCGTAGTTGGTAGCTGTACATGGGGGATATTGTAAGGCCGGAGACGTTTCCGTTTCCGCTGCAGAACTTCCGTCTCGTCGGGCTAGTCGGAAAGCCGATTTGGGGGTAACATTGTCGCTCACAAGAGAGGGCGTTAAGTTCAAAGCTGAGGCGCGGGAGATTCCATTTCTCTGTTGCTGGCTAGACTGTGTTTCCACGGTTTTGCGAGCAGTGCGGGTGGGAGTATAGCCCGCAAGTTTAGGAGTCAAAGGGTTCTTTGTGGCTCGAAATGTAGAACTCATTGTGGGGGTGAAGGGTTTGGCCTGCTGGCCGTTGGGATGTTTATTTGGGGCCATTTTTGGGGGACCAACTCGAGGGTTCGAAGGGTGCAAAAGTTGGTCGCGCATTATGACATTCTGGGGCTTCGAATATGGAGGCGACCATGGTGGCCGAAGCCAGAATAATTCAAGTCATGTAGATAGGTGCACAAGCCCAGAACCGGCGTCAATTGCGTCGCGGGAGGTAGTGATCGTGACGTCGTTTATTATTGTTGCTGTGGAGTGGTGGACCGTGGCCCGTGGAGGTTGACTTGGCTGTCATGGCGGCTCTCGGGCGAGAACAACATTCCCAAAAACGTCTTAGCGTGAAGCGTATCGCGTTGTGATAAGGACAGGTTGACTAAGCATACATGCTCGTTTAACTAACGTAATTCCCAAGCGAGCGAGCAGCAAAACTAGCATATCTCAACTAACCAGAATTTAAATCAAATTATCTACTCCCACCAACCACTAATTAAATTAAATTAAATTACATGAAGTTGAGGACATCTTATTCTTGTATGCCCAACAGTATTGCAATTGCTGCAGCGTTGTGGCGCTCGTATGCGGGGTCTAGGCTCCGGGGCCGCAGGTACGGAATGTTGAATAACAGGCTGTTCAGCAGGCTCAGCTGCAGGAATAATAAGATTCTGAGCTTCATTCCTAGTTAGACCCCCTGCACTTGGGATCCTGCGTGTAGACCTCTTGCGTTTTTGCTTCTCTTTCTCATTTGCATTGAAAATATCCTCATACTGCTTCTTCATAACCATGGCGCTGACCATCCCGTATTCGCAGGCCTTGATTATTTGGTCAAAGCCTTCCACTAACCCATGAGGTTGATCCTGATCCATAAGATTTCTGACCTTATTCACCTGCTTCTGCAATTGCCGGGGGTTACTAGGTGTTTGTAGGATCCAGGATGACGTTGAATTGCTTGACCTGCTGGCTGGGGGAGTAGGGGTTCGGAGTTGAATATTCAGCTGCTGAACAACGCATTGAGGATCCAATGGAACTATTCCAGTGGCCCTGAACCCACTTTGAATGTTTGAAGCCTTGAAGGCTTCCCGACGTGCTGCAGGATAGGCATCTAGGAAATCTGCCTTCTTAATGGTGTTGAATCCTAGCCGCATTCGCTGTTCAACTAGGGTTCCGTACGCGCGCTTTAAAGGTGCAAAAACACCCACATCTAGTGGCTGCAAAAGGTGTGAAGAATGTGGTGGCATGCAGAGAGGAATAATCTTATTCTCACTGCAGATTTGGTCAAATTCCGGAGTAAGATGACTGCCGTGCCCGTCCAGAATAAGAAGAATATGGGTTCCAACCCTGCGTGGATTTGCAGCTGGAATAAACAGCCGTGTAAGCCATTTGATTCCTATCTCATCTGTGGTCCAGCCATTAGGACTAACATCCAATCTCCAGCCTTCCGGCAGCCCGTCAAACCAGCCTTCCTGAATATTGTGACCTTTGAGGATAATATACGGCGGAGGGGCCCATCCTGACGCGTTGACTGACTCAATTGCAGTCACCCACTCACGATTCCCAGGCTGTATAAGAGTTGCTCGTCCGTAGTGCTCAGCACTAGTAATGACCTTGGTAGTTGCACAGAGCCCCATTGCAAACCCAGCTTCATCAAAGTTGTAAATATCTTCAAACACAATCCCATGCTCAGTCATTACCCTCTCTAGGGTCTTAAACCAATCCTCCACAATCCTGCGGTCTTCACACTTGGCCCGATCATGGTTATAGCGTCTTGAGAAGCGGCATTGGAGCTCTGGACGGCGTGCCACTAGATTTGACACCCAGTTCTTGCCAACGCGAGGAGGGTGGTTTGTATGGCTAGGCTTCCGTATGGCAAGAAGATGATTAGCCATATTCTCCACAAATGCAGGCCGGGGTGGTAGTCCTCGTAAAGCTAGGTCTAGGATCCATTGAACAAGCTTATCCTCTTCAGCAGGAGTTAATTTATGTGAATTTGCGCGTAAATTCACCCGTGAAGATCGACCACTGAGTCTATGACCAAGTGTAGAGCGCGGCACATTAAAGATGCGTGCAGCTTCAGAAATAGAGGATATTTCCTGCTTTTTAATAGCATTTATCGCGAGTTCAAGTCTTCCCTCTATCTCTATAGAGTTCCTAGCATCTTTAGAGCGAATTGGTGGCATAATTGCGCGTTGAAGTGGATGAGTAGGTAAATTAGTAGGTGGAAGAATTTGGCTGCTCGCTCGCTTGGGCTGCTCGCTCGCTTGGGAATTACGTTAACTAACTTAGTTAATAACTAAAAGTAGAAACACTTAATAACTAGTGGACCTAATTAAACCCAGGCCTCACAGCATCTAAACCCACCACCCCTAACACTCAAATGAATTCTAGCCCATGCAAGGACTTGTAATCAAGCTGTGCAAAATATTTCCAACACATCTGTAGAACCATGGCAAACAATATCTAAAACATCCCAGCATGAGATAGATATACGAACGTGGTCATTGCATTTATGCAAAGAATGAACGTTTCCTCACACTTTCTTCCCTCGTGTTAGCAGGAAGGTCAGACTTTCGTTTGTTTGTCAGTTGTTGCCCGGACTTCTCTAATGTGCCTCTAACAGTTTCTCTGATGGTTTGTTTGGAAAGGCAGAAATCTAAGTGTTGATTGAAAGACGAGTTATCAGCTTGCTGCGGACTCTTGCAAATTGGACAGTCCCACATTTCTGGGGTTCGATCCAACTCATTTATTGGGTTTGGAATAGGACTGTCTGTATCGGTTCCATTTGGACGATGGGAGGTGTCCCAATCTCTTCTGGTGGCATTTGGATCTCGCAATCTATCGTGGGTATCCTCGATATTTAGTACGCCGAACTCCTCTTCTCCAGAGCAGCCCGCATTACCAACGAAGGAATGGGATTGAGGCCGCACGCTACTAGTATAAGTGCCTCCAAAAAAGTTAATATCTGGCTTCTTCATGCTACTCAAGTTTGTGCATCGCAGACCCATTAAACGTATTTTCATATTTGGCATCTCTTTGCGCAGCCTGATCAGCATTGGAAGCGCATAATGATAGATGTCGTCTGATGAACAGACAGCCTTCGGTAACACAACTTGGCGAGATAATACTTCAAACGTATGAAGCTTGACTTTAAGCATCAATGTCCGGCTCTGAATTGCGTTCGAAACATATCCTTTTCAGTTCAAGGGCTGGTCAGCTGAAGCATTTCTTGTAAGTCAGCTATGTCGTCTATGTCTCTAAATGTACGTTCCGTCCCAACGCTCTTTCGTTCAGATTCTTCGACTGGTCGTATTTTGGTGCTTCCCAACCCTAAGTAACATTGCATCAGAAATTTGTAACATTTTTCTCCAAATAATGGTAGAATAACTCCGCGGTGTGTGAATATGTCGCTGCAATTCTTGATACCAATGGCCTCAAGTTCCCTTTCAAAAACGCGGCCAACGCCATTGATTTTGCGTACTGGTATTTCGGACATGAATTTCATAATAATTGAGCGATCGTTGGGAACATAGTGTTGCCCATTTGGTTTGTTCCAATTCGAGCAGATCTTGGCTATCCGCGCGTTAGGTGCAATGCCAGCAGAAACTGCCACTTTTGTTTGCTCCATAACTTGACTACGTAGCCTGCGAACAGCCACCTCTGGCTCAATCTCATTGGTTGCGCAATAACCAGTTATGTTCAGATATGCTTCATCGATGCTAGCGCTTTGAAATTGGGGGTCGAAAGACGAGAGAATAGCTCGGATTTCCTCAGCTTTGGCAGTATACTTTTGATAATTTTGCGGAATTAGGATGAGGTCTGGACAGAGCTTTCTTGCGATAAAACCAGCCATACCACTTCGACAGCCAAATTTCCTCGCATGATAGTTACAAGTCGTCAAAACTCCCTTACCAACAGCCATGGGTAATTCGCGTAGTTCAGGTCGGTCAAGTTCCTCAACAGCCGCGAAGAATGCATCGCAGTCGATATGCACAACGATCTGGGAGAGATCGCGTCCCACTTCAAGCTCAGCAAGGTACTCGTCCGCCCGCCGGGTATATAATAAAAGATCATTTTTTCCCAGCTTTTGCATTTGAGCAAGAATTCGCTCGATTTTTGTCGTTAATAGTTGGTCGCGAAATTTTTCATGACTAAAGAACTTGGAGCCCTTTGACGCGTTGTATATGATTTCGGATACCTGTGACACACGACGAGTGTTTAATATTTTATCCCGTAAAGGAACCGATGCATGGATATATAACACAGCTAGCCGACCTTTTGTTGATCTACCGTACTCTGCCCAGCCTTGGTCAGTGAGGGCCCAAGAAGATGGTATTTGAGTGTGTCGTCTGGTTTCGTAGACCGGTCGTCATCTGCACCATTGTTTTCGGAAGATTCCATTCTCATTCCTTGTCAAACTTAGAAACTGAGAAGATGGTTATGCCGTATATCTAAAGTGATCAGAATATTGTGGATACTTCCCAAATCGCTTGATTAACCTTGGGGCACGGTACAGGATCACGTGTTTTCGTGTTCTCTACCTAGGTATCTGTGGGACGTCTAAGTGGTTGTATTAGCATGTAGGGAGCTAGGGATATATGTGCGGTGCGCTAGTCCGTGATAGGCAGCCTAGCGCCAACAGTATCTACAGCAGCTATCTATAATTTTATATAACAAGCCGGAATCGCTCGCTTGCGCTCGCTTACTCTGCTTGAAAAACACATCATTTAATCCCTTAGATAAACAAGATATATAAACAGCTGTATATAATCTCTCTATATATTATATAGAAAAACCAACTTTTACATGCAAAATGCATTGTAACATGACCTCGCATGATATCACGTGCACCCCATCAAATTTATGAATGGATTGATCTTATCTCAGTAAAACTCAGCCACTCCACTTCGAGCTAACTCGATCCGAACTACTGCCAAGTCCTGCTAACATCTGAGCCAATCAACTGTCAAGGGGCTTACACTAAACCTAAATGGGACATCCTCAGCAAACTCTTCGCGGAGTGTCTGAGAAAAAACGGTTCCAGTTTGTTAGCAACATGGGAACGATTTGCTCCAACCATAACGTTTGAGATAGAATCACTGTACAACCTCACTTATAGATCATTTCTCTACCACCTTGGAAGGTTAATTTTCCAATTTCCTATCAATTGAACTAATTTTTATTCAAAAATACACCTATTGTGAGTATGAATTATCGCATTGAAAACTGCTACTCTGATTTTGAACACAGAAACAATTTGTTAATTTTTCAATCATGATCATATCTAATCATTCAATGTCTTGATCTTGTCATCAAAACATATATTCAGTCATCAATAGCTCTAATCTAAACACTAAATGTATTTTCTGATGATTTTTAATATTTTTTGATGATGTTCATCAATTTCTGACAATTTCTGTCAACTTCATATAACTCTTGATCGTTTCACACAATATATCAACTTTTGACAACATCTGAGATCTTTCAACAACTTCTGAAATCTTTCAACAACATTATAATTGAATTTTGTAAAGTATGAAGTATTAATAAAATGTTTCAGCTTCTGTTTAAGCAAGGCAATATAATGATGATGATCATGAAATGCTTTTGACTTTGAAAGTGCTGAATATAATGCCTTCCACCGCTTCGCAGAAGTACAGTTATCATTTATGAGTCAAGATATCAAAACTTTAAATCCAAGCATTTATAAAAACTTTCATTTTTCAATCATTTTGCTATAATGCTTTGATAACATAAGATAATTTTGAATGTTTTTTCTGCTGATTATGAGGTATAGTAGACAGATGCTGTGAGCCACAGATGTTTGATTGTGAATAAACTAATGAAGTATTAATATCAATGATCTCAAATTTTGAAAAAATATTAATAAATTCAAGATTTGTTAAATCACTATCTGATGTTTCATATCTATTATCTAGATCATTAACAGAGTATAGTGGTTGTTGAAAGAATTCATTTTCAAATGATGAAAAATATTAATTGAACCGCATCTGATGTTGAATGTCTTGAGATTCAAAAGACATAGTGACATTTATCAATGATTGTGATATGATGAGAAGAAGTAGCAAGTTACAAAATAGCAGAAATGATAGTGAGATGGTTAAGAATTTAAAAAATATTGATTTGATGATGATCAGATAGATATTTAAAGTAGATGTATGATTTCAAAATCAATTGAATATTTTATATAAGCAGGTTTGATTTTCCACAGATGATGGAACTGTTTCTTCTCAGACTCTTTATGAAATATTATATTGTGAGCACATGTGGAGTAATTGATTGGTTCAGAAGTTAGCAGACCTTGACAGAAGTATAAAAAAGTTTAATTGATCACACTAATCTGAAAATATCAAGAAAAGAAGCTGAGCATGCTGAGATAAATGTTGGATGATCAATTCATTCATAAATTATTAGCTTTAAACTGTCTAATATATGTCTCAAGTTGACATGCTAATACAACTATTTAAACATCCCACAGATTATGATCTTAATTACTTGTCTTTTTATTAAATCTTTCACTGCTCATCTAATATCTCACAAGCTGTTATGCTGATCAGCAGAAGAGATTTTGGTGAAGGTTAGAAGAGCTTTGATCATGGGAAAAGATTAAAAATTGATTGATATAGAGAGAAGAAATTCTTGTAGAATTCAAGCTATCATGGAAATGGATACCTTAGCTAGCAATGATGAATATGAATCTATCACTGAGCTATCAAGCCTAACACCAACGACTGATACCTTGATACAGATGATGATAGAATATTTGAAAAATTAAGATGAATATCTGAAAAAGCAAGATAAATGTATGAAGAGAATGAATGAATATTGAGACAGAAAGATGGGAAAATCTTTACAAAAATCAGCTGAAAACTCTGATTCTTTGTCAAGAAATCAAGAGTATATGAAACAAAGAGAGAATGAGATGAAATTGATTATACAAATCGCTGTTATTATTTCTTCATTTACTGAAGAATCTACTACAAGAATTGTTGATGAACCTTCTATCGGAACCGCCTCTATCACTGTTAGAATCACCATCAGAGATATCATGAAGATGATCATAATGAGATTCATCATTAAAAATACCACTAATATCACCACTGCCTCTGTCATTGAACAACTTTTCAAACATCGATATTACTAGCACAAACCGAAGCCTCACAGATGCTGAAAGGGTGAAGGATAGAAAAATAGATAGATTTGATTTGATTTGATTTGATTTGATTTGATTTCATGTATAATAGAATTTTTAGATAGATAGATATCTGTAAAGCTGCTAGTCTGAGAGAAGGTATTTACTCTAAACTGTCTATTGTAACGGGTGTACATCGATTAACAATCTAGCACTATTCTAAATACAGATTATGAATTGATTGTTACATCTTTCTTGAACAGCATTGAAGCATAGGAGATTGTTGTTGAGTTGGTGTAAGTGAGTGCAGTGGTTGTGATAATGCATTGACATGAGATGCAAGATGCAGAGCTTGAGTAGTTCAAAGTTAATATACTGATTCAGAAAGTTGATCTTGACAGCATCATCTCAGTTCTGTCCTTCTGCTTCATGAATCTTGCAATTGAAATCAGGCAGATAGTTCACTAAGAAGGTATTCCTCTGATGATTTCTGTTCAGCCACTGCATTGCATGTGCTTGCAGTGTAGAATCCAAGAATAGAACATCTAATTGACAGAAGACTTCTTCAGAGGTACACATTTCATGTGTACATGATTCAATCCAGGGTTGGAACTTCGCTAAAGCATCTCCTTCTAGCTGCCTATGAACATAGCGGGCTTGTGAGAGCAGAGAGCCTATCACAGACCCATCCTCTTCAAGCTTGGCTTTTGCCTTCCATTTTCAGACTAGGTAGGTTGAAAGCTCTCCTGCGAACTTGTCGAGGAGGGGGAGGCGTTCTTTCCTTTCGTACGCAGGGGGCGTTGGCGCTTGCGCATTTCCTGATGTATTCGTGCTCAGATGATTCAATTGTCGTTGAAGCTCCGCTATCTGCAAGGATTGCTGCTGGAGGAAGTTACGAAGTTCGGCGTTATCTTCAGCGAGGCTTCGGTTCTCGCTCATGGAGGGGTGTTTGTAGTTCATCTCGTTTTCGTACGAGGCCATGGTTCTTAGTTCTGGTAACTTGGAGACCAGGAGGTTCAGTTCTTATTCTTCGGAGGAAATACTTCGTAGGCACTCTGGCCTCTTCACAGACACGCGGTTGTGGAGTTCTTAAGCGCTCAGGCTTCTTCGCAGCACTATCACAGTGGTGCGGCTTCGTAGGACTTTAGAATTTGCGGATGTTATCACAACAACACAGCTTCGTGGGGACTTGGTAACTTATTCTTAACTTGGGCACCTGGGTGCAATCGTAAACATAGGGCACTCAGGCCGACACAGATGAATCAATTCGTAATGTAACGGGTCTGTGATAGACTCTCTGCTCTCACAAGCCCGCTATGTTCATAGTCGGCTAGAAGGAGATGCTTTAGCGAAGTTCCAACCCTGGATTGAATCATGTACACATGAAATGTGTACCCCTGAAGAAGTCTTCCGTCAACTAGATGTCCTATTCTTGGATCCTACACTGCAAGTGTGTGCAATGCAGTGGCTGAACAGAAATCATCAGAGGAATACCCCATTAGTGAACTACCTGCCTGATTTTGATAACAAGATTCGCGAAGCAGGAGGACAGAACTGGGATGATGCTGTCAAGATCAACCTTCTGAGCCAGTATATTAGCTTTGAACTGCTCAAGCTCTGCACCTCGCACCTCATGCCCACGCATTACCACGACTACTGCACCCACTTACGCCAACTCGACAACAACCTCGCACGCTTCAATGCTGTCCAAGGAAGATGTAACAATCAATTCGTAATCTGTATTTAGGATAGTGCTAGATCGTTAATCGATGTACGCCCGTTACACCTATCACGGACTAGCGCACCGCACATATATGCCTCAGCTGCCGACATGCTAATACAACCACTTAGACGTCCCACATAAATTTGATGGGGTGCACGTGAAATCATGTGAGGTCATGTTACAGTGGGGATGTGGGTGTGGGTCACGTGGAGCAGGGCTTGGTCGCAGAGCATTCAAGAGTTTAATGTGCGTCAATGGTGCTTTGGGATCGAAGCTGGATTCTGGCGTCGGAATAACGCTAACGGACAGAAATGTGGATATTATCCTCCGATGGTGATTTCCTCCGTGGTACGCCCTCAGCTTTTCTATCGCCATCCACACTTGTCTGGGGTTTACTAACTCTCCTGGTGGTAGGCAAACGAGTATGGCTGAAGCCCGGGAAGCAATATCTATTTGGCCGAGTGAAAAAGAACGGAGGTAAGGCATTCTCCCAAGCTCGCGATAAATATATTCATTTAACCCACCGTTAACTCCTGCTCACCGTGTTCGACTATTTTATCCAGTGCACCATGCAATCGACAACGTAACTATCTCGCGACAACATTTGGTTATTGAAGTCGGACAGGTAAAGCCGGGGGATGGAGTATGTTTCCCCCAAATATATACTCATGTCTAATTATGTCTGCAAGTCACTCGTGTGCTCTTGTGTGTGTCACTGACACTGTTCGAAGTTACATGTCCACGCAAAATCGCGGCTCAAAGTTACCGACCAGAAGACAAAGTGTGGAACTATAATCGATGGAGAGCCGATCAAGGGCTTGAGCAAGGAGCTCAACAAGGACGAACACGTCATCCAGATTGGCAAATATCCACACCCTCTAAGGTATTTATACACTGCACTGAAATTAATTCACTATGATGGATGTTGGTTGACCCTTACAGGATCAAGTGGCACCCTGTCGTTCTGAGCTTCTCACTTCCGTCAAAAACGAATGATCCAATCAGCCAAGCTCGCTCTAGCCTGGAAGAACTCGATATTAAAACCGTAGTCCCTTATGTTGTTGGCAAGACAACCCACGTTGTTCAAAACAAACGCAATACTTCAAAAGGGCTTCAGGCATTAATTAATGGAAGACATATCGTACAAAAATCGTACATTGAGGCCATTGTATACGCGGCGGCACCTGGCGACCTTGAGAGCGAAGAAGCACTTTGTCCTCTAGAGGAGGATTTTGATGCCTTTTGGCCGGATCCAACACAGTACCTACCCCCTCGGGGCAAGGAACCTTCCCGGAGGTCAGACGCAGCCTACCAACCAGATCCTAGCAGAGTTAACGTATTTGAGGGATATACATTTATTTTCTGCGATGGTAGCAGATTTGATGATTTACAGGGCCCGATTACGAACGGCCATGGAAAAGCTTTGCTCTACGAGATTGAACGTGGAAGAACCACTGCGGAGGATATAGTTAATTATATGAAACAAGTTGCGGGTAACAAGGGTTTAGGAAATTTCGACGGCAGTGGGGGTGTTATCCTCGTGCAGTTTCGAAAGGCGGACGAGCATTGCGATTGGGATATAGAAATCGAAAGCAGGGTCGCCTCACTAACAGGTCAGAAGATTGTTGAAACAAGTGAGTTTCTAGATGCCATACTCGGCAATGACGCATCCTCGCTTATACGGTCCTACCGGATGAATCTATTTGCGAGTGAATCGCAAGTACTTGGCGAACGAGTGCCGATGGAGGATGATGAACCCAGGAGGATGGGGTTACATAACACAAAGGCTGCCAGCCACTCATCGAAACGATCTCGTACGCGGACATATGTTAGCAAGTTCAAGACATTCGATGACGGATTCGACATGGATTCTATTCCGATGTATACTCTGGAGCATGGTAGCGGATCGGAAGAAACTTCTCAAGTGCGTGTGCTCCCTAGTTAACTAGATATTGTCGTACGCTGACTCTTTCTAGGCTCGGATTCCTGACTCCTTACTTGGCCAATCTCAGACAAGTATACACTTGTCTGAAGGCGAGCATATTGTCTCAGAACTCTTGCCAGGCGCTGCAGCGATGAAGATACGCCTTGCAAAAGGCCGAAAACGAGCCAAATCTACCCCTCCACCTGAAGCCTCGCAGAAACCAAAGAGGGTAAGGTTGAATGTAATGGAAGCGGCCCGGCAACGTGTCCTGGCTGTTGATGAAGAAGCCATGCAGCAGCGAGAACAAGAGGTTGCACCCTTTTGTGTGATGACGGAAGGAGTTGAGGTCGGACAATTGCGGAACCTTGCAATTGTTGAAGAGATGGTGATGCCGGCCATATCTCGCGAACAGGTAGATCCAACCCACGGCGTCACGTATGATGAGCGCTGGAGTGGACGAAACAACTTTAAAAAGTTTCGGAGGAAGGGACATGGCTGTCCAATTCCGCATACTGTTCAACCTGTTATCGTTCCGTTGGAAGAAGTTAAGAGGAAGGACTCTGGCCTTGGCGAGACGTGCTGGAGGACAAGGCAGCCGAAGTCCGCATGTCAGACTTCCAATGATCGGACCAAGGAGACTCCAAGTACTTCACACCCCATTGTTCTGCGAAACAGATCTCTCACTCCACCTTCAAGGATTGGTAAGCGGTCTCGAGATACGCGAGTTTCAGGGGGGTCTGATAGTGAAGATGGGTTGAGATTCCGCTTTCGAATAAGGAAAGGAAAATGAAATCTCGTGCGGCTGGATCTCACACCAGAGTTTTGAATGGCGCTAAAATATGTAACTATCTGAAACTTATTTTGTCGGAAACGGGTCATGTCCCGTCGACGTTTCGGCGATGATTTTCGCAATAAACGTCCTTCTCTAACACTTTTGGTTCCACATATGGAGGTAAAAGTAAATATCTATTTGGAATGGAAGCCCCAAGGCTTGCGTAAAAGGTGTCCATCATCTATGACGACAGAGTCGCAATAGATTATTTATCTAACGAAGGGAGAAATGTACTATTGCAACGCCAACTTGTAAATATCTTATTTTTGGGAGAGGATACTTAAGAGCTAACCATAGCAGTCTACGGAGCCAAAATAGTATGACCACTCATTGAACAATCTCATGACTGCTGGTTTGTTCCTCCAGCCCTTCAACATGGGTGCTAAATGGATTAGAGGTACTGTAGCAAAGCTCTGTTTCGGTTTTCATATGGAATGGCATCGGTTTGGGAATCTCAGGCTTAACATACTAATCTCCCCCACAACTCCAAGGCAAGCGATTTCCAATGCTTGCCAGGCTATGGCCCGAAATAGCTGAATTGTTGCTTCATAGCCTCTAGATTGTACTTGACGCCATACGGAACCGTTCTGCAACTCAAATGATGCCGGCCCTCATGGTGGATTTCTGGAGTGTGCAAGGTAGTTGTTCCGCACCTCTGTACGGAGAACGTGTTTCAAACGACGATATTCCAAACCCTATATTTCAGCGAGCGTTCTATGACCTCTCAGCGTTCCGTCACATCTGCGGTGAAAGGGTGGGCACTGCTTTTTGGATCGTCAGGCAGCGAAAATCCTGCGTGCACATGTTCTGATAACTTCGAGACTACCCACAAACATTTTTCTAGCGCTACATACAAGTTTTCTGAAATTAAACTGCAGTAAAATGTTGTTGGCAATTGATTTACAGAATTTTAAGTTCGATTGATCGATTGAAATTGACATCAGCGGTAAACCGAGTGCGGAGGTGTGGAACAAAAATCTTTGTAACTGGAAATATCATTACCAGACCTCAAATAATTCCGGCCTTCATAGTCGAAGTTAGGGGATGGGATGCCGAACTTGATTGCCAACCTCAAGAGACTGTAAGTATTTTGGGGGTTGATCAATTGGTTCGTAACCATTAATTATATTCACCTCTTTCAAAAATCCAGAGCATTTTCTTTTACTTTGTACAAAGCATCCAGAGTTAAGATTGATTTTTGCGGATATTATGGGCCACCATGTAGAAATGTAATACTGGCTACTCTGTTACAATCAATATTCTTCCATTCTGGGGGTCATTTTAGCTTGCAGGCCATTAGTTCTCATTGCAGCGTAGTTTTTCATAAACAGACAGACATTACATCGTGTATAGCCATGTGCAAAATATCCGGATATCTTCCCTCAAATCCGCTGTCAACAAGTAATACCATCAACTCGTCAATTTTCACTTCGCTTTCGTCGTTATACTGATTTTCACAGCCTATATTTTGCTTAGAAACCCTTTCGCAAATCCGACAAATCATCACCATCATCATCATTGTCCCATCCATCTTTCCTCCTATTAATCACAATCTTTTCCTCTTTCTTATTCTCTGCAACTGCATTCAACAACTCCTTTAACTGTTCTTCTGTAACCTTGGCCTGCAACTGGCCCGTTCGCGCCAGCATGATTAGTCTATTCTCAATATCTGCCGCTCGCTCTTCCTTCACCAGTCTAATCCGACCTAGACGGTCAGCTGCTTCTGGAAGGAGGATTTGGTTAAGGATGGCTTGACTGGCGTCGGCTGTGAAAGAGTTTTGCAATGAGTTTGGTGTTTTTTGTTTAATCCCAGTGTAGCCTTTTAGTGGGAATATGTGTCTACCAACGCAGCTGCGCGGGGGAGAGTGGTGGGGACGGACTAGACAAAATTTAGACATTTTGGGTTCGTACCTTCTTGTTGTCTATCATTGTTTGATACGTAGGGACACTAGTTAGTAAAGGAGAGCTAGAATGAAATGCGAACACATCTGATCTAGACAAAACCCACCGCCTCTGATCGAGGTTCGAGCGGTCACTTGGCCCTGCACCTCGTCCTGCTTGTGCCTGCAGTTGTGCAAGGCGAGCTTTTCGAATCTTCGGATATGTGGATAATCAGAAGGAACCGTTAGAAGGTGGATGACATGTACTAAGGCGCCTGAGAGGTTCGAGCTTTGGAATAATGGTCACGTATATGCGTACCTCTTCAAGCTCAGCGTCTGCCATAGTGCATTAAAAATAAAGTGAGGGGGGTGCAGAATACTGTATCACATACAGGCGTTTACAGATATTGACGAAGCAGCGACAGAAGCCTGTTGACATTAATGCTTGATGTTGAATTGTTAAGCAAAAGAGACAAAATGCTGTTGAGCGTGCAAAAACTTGAGGTTAATCCCCTTATCTCATTAAAACTCAGCCACTCCACTTCAAGCTAACTCAATCTGAACTACTGCCAAGTCATGCTAACATCTGAGTCAATCAACCACTGTCAGGAAGCAGAAGAGTCGACCTCGCTAAGTAAGCCACCCGACCTCGTTATGTAATCAAACCTCACTAGCGCGGCCTGTGCACCTACTCTACCTCCCACAGTACTTATTGTCTTGTAATTTGAAACCATTTTTGCTTTCTTAATTATTTTCCATCATTTCATCAATCAATTTTCAATTGATTGATGATCAATTCATTTCTCATCATGTTTTCTATATATGAAGATGAGTTTGTTGATCTAATCAGTAATAATGATACTTTTTCTGACACTGAGATTATTTCAGAACTTGATAATGAGATAATTATTGACAGAATCAATTCTGAATTGATTGAAAATTGATTGTTAATTGTTTGAATTCATTTAATCTCTTTCCATTCATTTAACTGATGCAATCAGCCATTCAATATGTATTATAAAATTATAGTACATTCACAATATCTCTGAGTATTCAAAAACTGAAGTGAAAGAGTATACATATATTATCTCAACTGATGCTATAAATGTTGAGAAAATGACACAAATGATGCATGATGTAAATCATGTCAATCAATTTTTGATTGATTGACAATTGACTGACAATTAATTCAGATTCAGTATGGAAAGACTTAGATTCATTCACTCAACTAAATATATTACTCCTTTCTTCATACTAAAGTGAAGAAATACAAGTTCAAATGTATTAATATCAAAATTTGTCAATATTTAAATGAAAATTTATATTTTTCATCTCATAATTAAGTTACACACAATATATGGACAAATTTTCAAAAAATACAAAAAAATATTCAGTTGATTGAAAATAATCAACTCAAATGCAAAACTGTTAAATATGAATTAATTGGCAATTGATTGTCAATTGATTGATAATTAATTCTCTAGCTATTCATAATCAATCTGAGTAATATTTCACAATCAAACTTTCTGTATATGATACTCTAAAATCTGTGTACCTGTTTGCTATTGATATGAGATTTCAGTATAATTCAATTTCATTTCAGTTGATTGACAATTGGTTGCTGATCAATTGTTAGAATGTTACTGAGCATCATGCTTCATACATTTTCTGTGTCAATTTTTCATAGAATAATCACTTATATCATTTCTTTTAAATGATGTAAGAAATAACACAAATGAATATTTCATTTCTTGAAAAAGTTTTTCAAAAGAATCTTTTTTTTGTAGAGGAAAAATGTGAGATTATGGAATAAACAAGAAGTATAAAAAAATACTGTGATAAATAATTTTTAATGAATTAATAGCTGATTGACAATTGATTGACAATTGATTGTTAGAATTTGATCATTCTGCTGATAAGGGAACAATGTAAAGATTACTATACAGTGTTGTGTTTCATATTATGATTTTAATTGATCCTGCAAACTGTTCTTATATACTGTTTACCTCTTATGAATATTATACACATTCTCCTCCTCCATCAAACAAGCCTTTTGCCACTATTATGAATCGAATTCTCTGTGAGGGCTGATGACAGTGTGAAGAGTATGTATGTATGTATGTATGTATAGGTTTAACGTCCCGGAGAAAACACGGGCAGCGCCCGTGTTTCAGAAGCCTCCCGAAGGGCATGGAGACGTGCTACGCTGGAGAGATTTCTATGTACACAGAGAGAGAGAAAACAGAATCCAGGTGGCAACTCTTGAGAAGACTCAGCTCATTGCAAAGGATTTTTCTGAGCTGCGCATCCACTTCTGGCCCGACGTATGGCCATTCATGGTGGGGCTATAGTGTGGTTCCCTGAGGGGACCGCCGCTGCCGTGCCTGGAAGGCTTTATAGTGAGCAGAGAGGGATACCTCTCTCAGTTGATCAGAAAGCTGTCTGTGCTTCTAACATCAGAAGAAAGACAGACAAGATAAATAATGAAGGAGAGAGCAGTGAAGAAGGTTGTGATAGGAAAAGAGCAGAGAATGACAGAGAGAGCAAAGAAAAGAAGGAAGAAGAAGCATTTGAGCCGATAGAGACAAGGGCAAACGAGAGGAAAACAAAGCAGAGCACGCGTAGATACAATGCCGGCAGTCAAAACCATATCAGCTGAGTCAGACACGTAGACTGTACTGATTACACCACAGCTAATTGAGACAGATGAGCCTAGTTGTGCTATCTGTACTGTCTGCATAGACTGTGATGTCCCTGGCAGTTGCACTAGCTACCGTGGGTGTACTCAGCAGGCCGGCCTCGTGGAACTGCTGCGGGGGTTGTCAGATGGTTTGCAGCCAGCCGGCTGCGTTACCTTGTGCAGTACCGTGTGTAGAACTGCGTGCAGTCCAGCAGTTCTACAAAGTCTGTAGGGGTCAGAGACCCTAGATAGGCAACAGCTGTCGCCCGGTTGTGTGGCCGTGCTGCTGGCCTCTTGGGCCAGTGAAGAAAGTGCCTCTGTGAGTGTCGACAGAGCACCAAATGTTCTGGGCTCTTGTTGTGTCCACAGACACAGGTGAGCCTCGCATCTGCATGCTGGAAACGCCTGTGGTACCAGGAGAAGTCCCCATGAGAGGAGCGGTGAAGGGCATGCCGTGGCATGGTGAGCTCCGGAGGGGCCTTCACTTGGTATTCCACAGTCGGCCTGCTGAAACTCCAGCCCCGGTACCAGTCAGAGAGCTTGCCACAGGCTCCACTCCACCACTTTCGCCTTGCCTCTTGGCTGAGCTGCTTGGCCACTGTGCGGACCCCAGAAATGGGGATGAGATGTATCAGATAGTGCATTTGACTCCCATAGTTTGAAAAAGACATTTGGAATTTTCTGTGAATAAATAATATATTTACAAAGTTCAGAAATTGTAGCAGATACAAGATACAAATAATTAAGAGCAGATTTCACTCACATATCAAGAAACACTCATACTAGTGCAAAATCTGCAGAAAGGAGAAGATAATTGATTTGTTTGAATGGGTCCATATATGCATTCTTCTCTACTCTGGCTTTTACCCGTATATCACATATAATTCACATTATATGTGAAGTTCCTCTCTTTTCAGATCATCTCTCACCAGGGCCAGACATACTTGCAATTCATTCATTGATCACTGAAGACTTTGAATGAAAACATGAAGTGAGAATGCTTCCAGTTCTTCCAAAATATTCTGAAGAGCAAAAATGCTCAATTGCTTCAATTTACTGCCTTCTGACCATGGTCCTATTGGAATCTATTTCATTTTAGTGACTGGTCTTCATCAAATGTATGAAGCTTGACATACCTTGAATCTTTGGATTTTGATATTGATAAAACCAGCTTTTCCCATTCTCTGTGTGCAGATAATTGCTCTGCAGAAAGGCTTTTGCAGCTTATTCCAGCTCTTTATGATATACTGTTGCCATTCAAGTGCATGTACAGCTGTTTTATACATCTCATCATCTGAGAGGAAGCTGTGTTCAAGTGATTGAAGTTCAAAGTATCCATCAGGTTTTAAATGCTCAAAAGCTCCTTTGCACAGTCTTTCACAGTTGTAGATTGAACCATCCAACTCATGCTCATGGATGAAATCAAATTCATATGGCAATTCCCATTTCTCAAAGTCGTCAATCTCAAAAATGCAATTTGGTGGAACACTGGAATAAATCATAAGCCAGACATATTTGATATGGTGGGACACTTCTTACAAGATAGGTTGGATTGGGCTTAAATCATTTCCTCGAACCACCGCACTGGGGTATTTGCTGCCCATGATTGTTAGCCACGCTTGAAGTGATATCATGGACATTTGCTTCAGAGGTACGCACTCGGCACATTCTATCGCCCAGATACCTGTTCCTGTTCCCATATCAAGAATGTACTGAGGCTTGTCGCTAATGGGAGCAAGAAACAACTGATAATCGAAGGCGAGTGTATACATCCTATGCAACTGTGCCCTGGTCAGATCTTATGCAATGAGTATCAGATACCATCATTTACCATATCCATCCGATCCTTTTCCCGCTCATCGTTCGGCTATCAACCAGTTAATAACCATGTTTCTCCACCATAAATGGAGAGGACTCACAAGAAGGTATTCCTCTTTACAAAATGCATGATATGTTCAGTCATTCTGCTCATTTAGCTTGTGCGAGCCAAGTCTGTTGAGTTTCTCTTACCTGAGTCCTGAGATTGTTAGCTGGGATAGCCATTTTGGGTATGAAACAAATTACTTACGGATAATCGGTGATACTTTCTGTGAGGGAAAATAAGTCATCCTCCAATTCAGAGTGGTAGCCGCTGGTACTGTCCATCTCCTCCTCCATCTCCTCCTTCTCCTCCATCTCCTCCTTCTCCTCCTTCTCCTCCTCCTCCTCCTCCTCCTCCACTACCTTCTCTATCTCATTCTCAACTTCACCCACTCTAACCCCTTTCCTCTCTCCCTCCATCTCTACACCATGAGAATGGTCTGGTAATATTGCTGTCCCAGGTCGACTAGGTAATTTGACAAACATACTGAAGAAAGGAGAGACGATGAACATGGCTTCCAATGTCTGATACAAGAGACAGGTTGCCCTTATATGTACACCATACCTTGGGGAATTAGAACGAAAGACATCGCCCTCTGTTTATAGATAGCAACAGCAACAGTGATTGTAGGCTTGAAACTGAGGAAAATAATTCTTAGCACCTCCATTGACTTAAATTTGGTCACATATCTCATTGCTAATGCTAATAATTCAACCAGTTGCAAAAGCATAGGTAAAAATTGTACTGGCTGGCGACAGGGCAAGCGCCATGCAGACACAGACCACCAATGCTTATTCCTTGAGATTGCATTTTAAATATCAACGCCTGTGGAGCACGCCTTTTTAGCGTTGCTATTTCAAATACAGTTAGATTTATTTAGATTGTCAAAGTGTCTCAGTCAACAACCGGTGAAAGAGATACAATATATACGACGCCGACACCAATCGCAGCTTTGATGTATGTACTTCCACAGGTTCCTCCATAATCCAATTACAAAGCTCATAACAACAGCCGAACCAACCTTCCAATCACATGTGCACTTCCCCTCCAAAGATTGTCTTTCGTTCTCCCAGCGTATGACCTGTCCAGGCCATGTATTCAGAGCTTCGGATGGGATAGTTATGGTGTGGGTACATGACTCATAAAAAGAGAGTGTAACAGAGCCAGGATGACTGGTCTTTTCGCCAATGATATGCAGGTGGCCACTCAAGGGGCACGACTGGTTGCATCGCATTGCATCCCTGATATGACCAGCCTCAAGTACCATGGCAATGCCCGCCCATGAGCTCATAAGATCGGATGTTGAGGCTGGGAGTAGCTTGCAAGTGCCTGCACTGACAAAATAGCTATCCCCGCGCCTTAGAAGTTGGAGAACGGGAGGCGAAGCCTGGTTCCGTTAGTGAAGCTACCGCATATGGGGGAGGAGATGTACCATTGACATGATCTCAAACTGGAGGATTTTACAGATCCTCTCTGCAAGCTATGGTGCTTCACTGAACTGTGTGCTTTCTACTTCTGCATCAGTGAATGCTACGCTGCGAAGGTCGTTTGAGACTCGAACTGAAAGACCCATATGGCAAAAGGAATAACATGTCAACCAACTTTGTATGATAACAGTAAGCACGCCCTTCGCATGCAACGATGTGAGCAGACTTTCTCCTTGCGTCTAAGACAGTAATCCGAGTGCACGCCAACATGTATGAGTAGCCCGTACGGTGAGGCATCTCTTATAGTCAAAAGCATTGAGATGCAAAGGCGGCTTCAATTAGTATCAAGATAGTGATCCCTTGCATGGGGATGGCACGGACTCAAGCTGGACATGTATATCGCTCTCGCTCTCCCAGTGTGATCGACGCAAGTTTCCCCGTGCTCACAGTCTGGAAGCCCTAGCTGCACTTTCTACTGGTCTTCCTCAAGGCATCCCATACTACATGGCATAGATAGTCTGAATGCACTTGCGGCAATCAATCACTGTTGGGCAAAGGAAAGGCCAGAAGGCTCATTTTCGGTCTTAATATCACCCTTGTCAGGATTTTAGACCATCATGGGACAGCTGACCCCTTTGGAGAAAGCCCAATATCATATTTGATTCTGATCATAAAAGCCAAGGCAGATACAAGAGTTATGACCCTCAACGGACAGATCAAATGGGACGGGGAACAAGCCGCATTTGCAGTAGTAGAATGATCCGGCGGCACGGATAGCTTAGACGATGAGTACATCAGTGGAGTTTCCCATGCCGAAGTCGAACAGATAGCAACCCATGAATTTGCTAAACCAGTCAGCAACCACCCGATCAGAGTTTAGTTGAGGTTTCACTCGAGTTCTAGGTCCAAAACTTTCAGCCATATGATTCAAAAGAGAGTACCTGTCTTAACCAATCCTTTCTTCTCTAATCACAATTCACACCTCTTTTCTCCCCCGGGTGCTTTCTCTGTTCTGGGTGTGGCTCGAGCTAGCGGGCTGCAAGGCTATGCAAGAAGGCAACTTGCGTGTATATGCTAATATAAATGACCATCATGAAATGAGGCAACGAGCGAGTGCTGAAGCATCTCTTTACCAAAGGTAGTTCTGTCTGCCCTCTCTTTCATATGTCGGCCCAGGTTGATGTTTGCTCAAACTAACTACTAGTGGTTGCCACAAGTGGGGCCAAGAGATATGAATGTCTCTTAGCCCCACTTTTCAATTTAGTGTGTGTCTTGGCAAGTTGATCAGCACAGCACAGGTGCTTTAGCTCTTTAGCAAGCGAATGCTTGTCTTGGCAAGATATACCTGCTACTGCACGGGCAGATTAATCCCCAATACTATCTTCAGCCGCAACTTTACTTCTCTTACAACATCCATTTCATCTCCAGCTTGCTGACAGATGAAAATGGGTATCACAGAGAGTAAATTACTAGTTGCCAGTGTCTCCAGAGCTTGCAATGAGGCAGAGGAGATTGATGGCCTGAGTAAAAACATTCTCTCCGATCCGCTGGTGCAGAGTCAGATAAAAAACATTCTCTCTGACCCACTGGTGAGTAGTCCTTGCCATGCTGTTGTCTCAACTATTGCTCAAACCAGACAGGTTGCCTCCTATGCTACACCAATTTGGAAAGCATTGCCAGTTGATGCAAGAAACAAAATTACTGGCCATGAAAGCCCTACACAGAGAGCAATAAAGAGAGTTACTACCACTATCACTCTCTCCTCAGATCTGAAAGGATTCCTCGACAGCTGCAAGAACCGCCCTTATTATTTCTTTGAGGCAATCGGTAGGAAATTTGATTTGCGTTACCCTCTTGCTCAATGCTATCTGTTCCTCTCCGATACAGAGTTGAGCAGGGGCAGAGTGCAACGTCGACTCTTCTTGATTATTTTCGCTCGCTTGAAGGCAAGACTAGGACACTCTCGCCTACATTCCTCCGCTCGCGAAATTATTGCTTTCAGCCTCCAGCATTCAGGGTTGATTGAAGACAACGCATCGGATATTGACAGGAAATTTGGTGATTGGGCATCCAGAGGGGAGAGGTATGAGGTACTGGCAGCGGCTTGTGGAGGACTTGATTCCTTAATTATCCTCCCAGGCGATATCTGTGACACATTGTAAGTAAGTACCAAATACTGGTAGCAGAACTGACAACTCTTTAGTTGGGAGAAGCATCTGCCAAAGTCTGGCGCATTGCACGATAAGATGATAAAAACACTTCAGCAACGAGGTGTTGGCAGTTTTGTTGAGGAACTCGGTGGCGTCTCCATCTTGGAAGATATTATTAGATGTATATGGCCTCGCCTAGAGGAAGATATAAATGAGGCTATGAGGGAGCATGAACCATCAATCCATCGTGGGGAAACAACTGCACACATTCCAACCGCAGACCCGAATTTCTTCAGCAATGACCTTGCAATGCAAATGCATGGAACTTCCTACACCCCAGCCTTGGATGCAAATGGTACTCTACACGCGTCAACATCAGAGCAAACTATTTCCTGCACTCAACGATCTCCGCACTATACAATGCAAATGTATGGGATGCAGCACGTTGCAACACAAAATCCAAACATTGTCAGCAATGACCAGGCGAGGCAAAGCCCATGTTTCCTTCCCGAGATTAGAATTGGTGGTACATTTATTACATCTACAAGGGCGCAGGTGAATCCGTCGGGATATTAATTGTCTGGCAAACTCTGAGTTTATGTCGTGGCGGGGATATATAACAATAAATACATGTAAGAGCCACACAATTCCCACTTCAATTTCCAGCTTATGACATTTAAACTGGGTTATTCACATGATATTTGAAACAGAGATCGCCACCAGTTTCCCACCCTCCGCGACCTTTAGAAAGCATTCACCAAGTACATGATAATAGTGATCTGTATCCACGGTTACATCGCCGATTTTGATGTTTCCTGATACTTGAAGCGGCACCAAGATCGTGAAGGTTTTGATTGGAATATCTTCGAAATACACAAGCCCCGCCACTAGGCATTTTGAAATCTTGGTCGGCTTTCCCTGGTATGCTTCAGACGAACGGGCCTGGCAATAGTTAGAACAGCATAGAATATAATATAGTTTGAGGGTATTCACCTGCGCATATTCATCACAAATGTAGTCTACTGCAACCTTACAATCTCTTGTCGGCTCGAAGTGTGCGGGTATCTTGTCCACCCGCTTAGTGAGTTTGTTGCAGGTATTCTCTACCCCACACCAAGCAGTTTGTCCTTGTGTAGTAACACGATCCGATGAAATAGAAATAACCGTCATTGTGGTCGAAGAAAAGTGTGTAGAAGGGAAATTTACGCGAGGAGTAGAACAGAAAAAGAGTGTTAATATTTGAAGACTAGTTGTCTATTAGAAGTGAAATCAAGGATAAGCCACATGATCTCAGAAAATGGAGATTGGGATCTGCCCCTCTGTGTATTTGCACATATTGTTCTCATTGGGCTGCCGTAACTAGGTCTCATGACATCATAATCAACAGATGGAGCCATAATTTCTAGTTATTCAAAGGTTTAGCTTTTGTGCATGGTTATGCGCCTCATGGATCAGGGCATGTAGATATCTTCTATCATATGTGTGTAACTACTTGACACACTAAATCAACAAGAGGGTTTCTTCCAATTTCAATGGTGTCTTACTATGCCTCCGCTGCGCTGCTAAGCTTTCTCTTCCACTAGATGCGCGCACTGGCGCGCCGGAGTGCTGTTTTTTTTTTTTTTTTTTTCTTTTTTTCTTTTTTTTTAATATCAATCACATTCTATGCAGCTTTATATGCACCCATGCGGCGCATACTCCAACCTCCTAGGGCTGCAAAGCTTGCGCCTAGACTCCCGGTTGGGCATAAATATCCTTCACCCCCCCATTCCATGCGCACAAGCTATCCCTTCAGTACTTCCTTCCTTTGTGATCATTATGGCATCCCACACAAAAGACGCCTTGGAACTCCCAGAAGACCCCAAAGCTGATGATTGGATCGAGATAATTTGGGAAAAAGACACACCGACACCGAAAATCCGAATTACGAGCTATGCCATGGTTACTGCTATAGCAAGGATTGGCAGAGTTGCGTCTCCCTTAACTAAACAGCACTCTCCTGGTCCTATCTACCATGATTTTCTCAATGCTCTTCAGGGTACCTCTTGTGATCAATCCTTTGCCGCAGCAATTTGGAAGGTTCGAGAGGCACTTGACCGGGAATTGGATTTGCTGAAAACCAATTTCGGTCCGGAAATCCTTCAGGTAGAGAGTGAGATAGGTTGGCACTATTGGACAGAGGTGATCTATCGCCGGTTTTTAGGCACCTATAAACTCCATCATGTTAGGAAAAGTGTTCTACCCGCGGCTGAGGATTCCGAGATTATTGAAGCCACTCTGGCCGGAATTTGCCCTTCAATGTGGGGTTTGCTTCTTCGGTTCGCATCTTCTGATGAGAATTTTTATGTTGCTGTTACATTCAAAGAAATTCAGCATCTCCACCGACGAGGGGTTACCTTCTTGGAGAACTATCAGTATGTTAGCAGAAAGGAAGATACAGATGTACTCTACTAATAATCCGAAACAGATTGAAGGTCCACCAAATCCCAGAGTGATGACACTCGCAGTCACGCTGGCCCTCGCAGAATCGGCTACAGAAATTTGAGGAAGGAGTTTGTTTCATTTCTCTACAATATTCATTGGCGACTTCTAGAAGACTGGTGGCATCGGTTTGTGAAAGGAATGGAATCAGAGGAGACAAACAGAGATCAGCTAAAATTGCAAGCAGTATTGATATTGATGACACTGAACTTTTTTTTTCTGAAATTAGCGAAAATGTGACCTGTGCTGAAGTTACATCAGTATTTTTGACAAAGAAGGTGGAGACCTGGTTTAGAATGGCATTGTATTCGGCAAGGGCTAATTACCTTAGGTACCAGGTAATCAGTCAACTGCACCCCCAGGCCAGTGAATTCAGAGCCGTCTTGAACTTTAATGAGGGAAATGAATATGGCTGGAATAAAACAGGATAGGGCATTAATGGGTAGCTGGTTAGCTAACTGTTAAACAATCAAAAGTTAATTAATGTTTCATTTTTGCTTTTCCAGGGTTGTCCTATTAGCTGCAGCAAGAGTTCACTGAATCTATTTTGTTGTCAGTCTATATGTATAGCCTGCGCAGCAATGTAATAAGACTTATTTGAAGGTCTCTTGTATTTGTGCTAACAGTTGCTCATGAGTGTTCAGCATCTTCTCTGCAAAGTGACACTGTTCAACTATGCAGTGAGAGCAATGAAACAATTCTTAGAAAACAGTAACATTAAAGTAAAGGCGCCTTCGGTCCCTTGTCATCTCATCATCTGTTTATCTTCTTGCAGTCCGCACTGGGCAACATCTAATGCATGGATTATTTCGCCAGTGTTGTTCCCGCTCGTGGTGTGTAACACCATATGCATTCTCAAATATTTCTTCTAAAGTCAGATCATCATGTCCCATGGCTTCAGCAATCAGTCTATCCACCACTCGGATACTCAATAACTCCGCTACAGAAGAGCGCGAGCCGGCGACTAGTTGATATCGCCCCTGATTATGATGAAAGAAGCCAATCACAATATTGGGCAGTCTTCGGCTGAATTTATCCCATTCAGCTGATGCAACCCATTCTATCCCATACTCTCCCATGTTCGCGAGATTAGGCCGTAATGACTTCCACCCTTGAGATTCGATTGTAGGAACTCCATGCCGTAGTGCCGCCTCGATCACTGGACGGCCCCCCGCTTCTGCTGCTGTGCGGAGGTAATAATTGCCAGCCTCATCTCGAGTCACGCAACGGCCGGTGGTGCCATAAACCTGCGCGCTTACCACCCGTTCTCCGTTCGAGGCGTAGCCAGGACGGATAGATCGAACAACACGTCTGCTGGGAATGGGCACGTGGTGTGGTCTTCTGCCTCGTGACGGCTGGTTAGTTGTGCTTTCTCGGGTTGGGCCGTCACTGGTGCCAATCCTTTCATACCCCCGGAGGCTTCGGCTGTAAATGTGCATCTAGTTAGCGATCAATTACATTTCTAAAGTGAGGTTGAAATAAGTTGGACGCATCAATGAGGACATGTAGGAGCTGAGAGCATTGGATTGCTCTTTCTCCGCCATTGGTCAAGACAATTCTGGTGAAATCTCTGAGAGCACTCTCTGCATGAGAAAAGCACACCACTTTCTGGCTCTCTGCAGATGGGACATTCGCGCGTCCTTCTGGGTGATGGCGGAGGCGGGACTGCTCTTGTTGGGGATGCTGGAGGCGGGACTTCTCTTGTGGGGGATGGTAGAGGTGAGTTTGCTCTTCCTGACGATTCTGGCGGATCTGCCCCATTCATGGGTGTGTCGTTACTCCAAGGTGTAGGGCACCAATCCCTCGGCATGCCGGCATCTTCGGTATCAGCTAACATTTTGGTTCTCATATCATCGTAGCCAGTTATATCTCCATTGTGATATTTTGCGGCGATAGCTTCAAGCCCGCTGAAGAGATAATCAGGGTCTAGAAGATGCAAATATTCAACTTGGCCTCTTTTAGTGTTTTCACGACGAATCCTTTCGTTCATATCATTGGTGTAGTTGACAAACATGCTCTTAGCTAAAGGAATGTTTTCCTCGCTCGAATAACTTTGCATGAGAGCTTCAACATGTGGTGTGAGGCTGGCCCAATGGGATTGGTAATATTTGTGTTCTTCATCCTGGTCTTCATAATACAGCAAGCCGCTTGGGGGCACAGAGAGAAGTGCAGCGGGAAGCTGAAAATCTTTAACCAGATCACGAAGATTGCCACCCTCATTATTGTTGATTGTTAACTCCCACTGTTCTTCTAGTGCCTCTAGAGGAATTTTACCCGCCTCTGAATAAACACCATTTTGTACATTTAATGCATCCAGATGGTTGTTCATTTGATGAATGTGATCGATAATTTCAATGAGGTGTTGCGGTGGTGAAGAATCGATCCTCATATTTGCAATATTAAGAAATTTATCATTTTCATCTCTTGCATTGCAAAGTTCTTGTAAAAGAGGCAGAGCACGGGCATGCATCTCTTTGTGATAATCAGTCACAAACCAAAGAGGTGAAACCTCCATTGTTTTAAATGCATTAAGCATTTCTGGATGATCCTGCTTGGCTTTATTGAAGGCAGCTTTCCATTCTAGGGGAGAATGTTAGTGGGAATTATCTTGCAGTGAAGGTCTAATGCTTACTCTTTCTGGCACTCTGCACAATCTTCTTCTGTTCTCTGTTTAAATCATTCATATCATGATTTACTATCATCTCGGTGGCTTTGGCGTTGGCTGCCAGCTGGTGCTCGGGTGACCCGTGGGATCCCGATGAACCGCGGATTACTCCAAAAACTTTGTAGTAGGTGTCGTCGCTGCGATTATTGGTGATGTATTTTGCAACACTCACTCGAGTGTAACGGCTCATCGGCACTGGAGGTAGCCTTATTTTGTTAGGTTCTTTGCCTTTTCCCTTGTGCTTCTGACCATTCTCATTAGGTGCTTGTTCGATGGTGAGCTTATCGTGAACACCCATTCGGTGTTGATTGACGGTGGATGGACCTGAAAGGGTTGAGTCAGGAGGCAAAGTGGGCGTTGAGTGCAATGAAGATATAGGGGAAGTATCTGAGAACTCCGCTATCTCCTCCCGGGAGATTGGGTCCACTGAAAGGCTGAGAGTGGCCATTGTTGAAAAGTGTTATGTAAGAAGAAGTTAAGAATAACTAGTTATTGAATGTCACTTCGACCTGCGAAGCTTGGTAAATTTTTAATTTGACAAAAGCTTGATATAATGAAACAATTGTATTGAATGAATTTAGAACAGTTAATTGTTCTGCTTATTAGGGCTTTTATATAGTATTTTTATCCACCATGATATTTTGTTTGCGACATGTTGCCCGTGGTCTACGGCCCATGCTCTAGTTACGGCCCGTGATCCATGGCCCGTGGCCTGTGGCTCGGAGTCTTGTGGCCATGGTCCGGACCTCTCTTCCAGCCAGCATACATGTCCACTTTTGGAAGTATTTATTGTATTCAGAGCGCCTTTATTATACAATCTGAAAAACAAAATTGATCACAATCATTATACTACAGCAAAAAATATGTTGAAACACATCATTCTTTTTATCTGTGCTCATTTTGTTATCAGCACAGCGGTACAGATGGAGTATGAGTTCCAATCCAATTAGAATGTTTGCTGGACTGACATGACCCAAGTATCGAGCAGTTGGTATCCATTGATATTCCCCCATCCGATGTATCAACGGTTCATCATGTTCAAGTTGGTGGAGGGGATGCGATTGCCTTCAGGCCAAATCGCCTTAATGCCAACATCGGCGATAAAGTGGTTTTCGAGTTTCTTGGATTAAATCACACTCTAACCCAGTCCAGGATTAGACAGCCCTCATCCACCCAACGAACTCCAAAAAGCGCTCTATAGAGCCGTTAATTTTCAACTGTAGCACAACAATGCAAGAAGATATTAATATTATTTATTAAAGATTAAAACTATATGTAGAATACATCATATAAATATATATGATTAATTCAGAGAACGATTGCTTGGCCTAATAATCCGCCCGGAACGTGAAACTCGTGGTTTTGAAACGGTTGAATCGGATCGCGACGTAGAAGGTTTCAGAGAAGGAATATCATTTGATTCCACTGGGGGGGCCTGCGTGCGGCACTTATTACTGCTTTTAGAAGGTTGTATAGAGCTTCTACGGTGTTTTGAGCCCACTGTTGATCTTCTTGTAGGCCTCTTTGAGGCCTCCGCGAGTGCCTTCTTTGCCAACTGTGCTTCATGATGTTTAGCAGCACGTTCTTCCTTCTCTTTTTGCAGTTGAAGCTTCTGTTCATCTCGCTGTTGCTTCTCTATACAATGTTTAGCTGCAGCTGCAGCTTTGGCCTCCTCACAGTGTTGAGCAGCTTCTAAATGTTCCTTCTCATGTTGTTCCTTCCGCTCCATGAGCTCTGTCTGCTTTTGCTCATGAAGAATCGCTCATTGAAGCTTCATATCCTTCTTGCATGTCTGATCATTGATTTTCGCAGTTTCATTAGCATCTGCTTGCTCCCTCGCGGCCTGCACCTTTGTGGGAGAAAAGAATTGAGCAAGTGAGGGATTTGATGGATTCAGCAACCCCATACACTTACCCCGTTTGCGTCGCCTTCTCTCATTATTTAGAGCAGTCTGAAGATTCTTATTCTCTATTAAGAGAACCTCTCTGTCCAGAGCAATATTCTCCCCAGCGCGGAGAATTCTTTTAATATCAACTGAAAGTCGGCGGTGACGTTGGCTTGCCTGCTTTATCAGGCCTCGCAAAGCTCGTATAGATGTAGGTGTACGCTGTTGAAGCAGTTCCGGGGGTGTAAGTGGACGTGGTTGAATCTTTTTGAGAACGCGGGCAGGATCTATAGGATGTATGCCAGTGGTCATGAAGGCAGATTTGATATTTTCCGCAGTTGTAGAGATTTCCCATGCAGCACGAAATAATCGCCAAAAATCTCGCTTTGTAGTCCGAATAAGCCATAGCCAGAACGTGTATAGGAATCTAGTTGATCTGAATATGCCTTTGCAAGTGGGCCAAATATTCCAACATCTAGCGGCTGTAAACGGTGTGTAGAGTGGGGAGGAAGAATAGCAAGCAAAATTCGATTCTGATCCGCATAATCAATGAATGCCATATTTATATGAGATTAATGGCCATCTAATATAAGCAGGCGGTAATGATTTCTTGCTTTTTGCTTTGTATGAGGATCAAACACCTGTTTCAGCCAGGTTAACCCATATTCATCATTACTCCATCCATTTTCTGAAGCAGCGAAGTATGCCTGATCCTTTTTAGAATCAAAATCTTCAAGCCACGTATCTTGCATATCTCTTGATTCCCCGCGGTAAATGAGTGCAGGTGGAATTGTAGTTCCATCTGCACAAATACCGGCAAGCAGAGAAATGAATTCTCTACTGCCATCCTGCACTGCTCCAATTGTATGCTTCCGTTTGAGAGCTTCTATAGAAACGATTCGCTTGAGGGTACGAAGGAGGCCAAGAAGAAAGCCTTTTTCATCGAAATTGTAGGTGTTCTGGGGTAGGATATTATACTGCTTGATCTTCTCCTGCAACTATTCAATAGAAGTCAGCAAAAAGCTCATGGAATTGCACGCGAAAAGAAGCAAAAAAACTGCAATTACAAGAGTAAAGAAGTGTTCAAAATAGTAGCTATTATCTGCCTGCTTTCTCTTTTGATCCAGAGCATGAAGATAGATGCTCTTGATCTTTGCTTTATGCCGCTCACAAAAGCGAGACACCCAGTTGATTCCTACTTGCATTTTGGTGATCTCAAATACAAAATTGCGCAGTATTTGAAGTGTTACAGGGAAGCCGCGATTGGATAACTGATTAATATGAAATAGGAGGCGTTGTTCTTCAGTATTCGTGAGATTCTGACAGTAGATTGATGTTGCCTCTGTTCTGGAGACCTGTTGACCTTTGAACCGCCGCATCAAGGTAACGCGATTGATTCCGAATTCCTTTGCAACCTCAGCATATTTAGGAATCAATTGTCGATTCAATTGAGCGATCGCTTGCTCTATAATTGCTTCGTTGGGTGGCATGGTGGGTGGTTGAAGTTGAAGAGTTGCAGGGATTCATGGAAAAAATAGGAGTTCGTTGGGTGGATGAGTTCGTTGGGTGGTGAGTCACGTTACTCCAGTACATCAACTAAATTCTGGCTTCGGCTATTTCAACCCTACCAATCGCACCGGCCTTACGTTGTCAATTACTGTTAATTCAGCTGATTCCCAGTGGTTCTTCTGCCAACAGAATAGCACCACCTCCCACTGTCATGCAGGCATGGTGTTTGCACTAAATCCAGGCGATTACATGGAGGAATTCTTAGCAAATTCCAGAAGCGAGAGTACACTGATAACAACTCGTACAATCAGTGTTGGAAGTCAGGGATTACCTTCCTCTGTACAGTGCTTAACAGGTATACCTTTCTATCCCGGCACTGCCGGCATCACACCTTTCTATCCTGGTACTGCCAGCATTCCACCTTTCTATCCTGGCACTGCTAGCTCTACGGGACGAGTTGGAACAACATGGCGACCAACAGCAACAGAACCACCATTCTTTTCTTCTCTTCCATTTACATCTGATGCAACTCAAACTATTTACTCACAGTTTATACTCACTATCCTTCTCTTTTTATTTGCTTAAATCTTAATTTTTTGTTATCAAGTGTAGGCAGGTCCACACTTTTTTGTATTTACAGCAAAAGATAAATCCGATTAGTGCTACCAAGTTTCTTTTCATTTCTTCTTATATTTTGCTTTCTGCTTGACATGCCTATATGAATACAGTGCTTGAAACAGACATATGGGACCACTACGCCAAAAAGAACGCCTTTTGGTGGCTAATGATCTCTGGTTGATATCTTTATTCTACCTGTACCAAGACGACACTAAGTCTCTCCCTTAGATTGTTTTTGTTTTAGCGCAGCAACTATTTTCAATTTATTAAGCTTTTGGGTTTGAGGCCCCACAGCGCTGAGAGAAGCTGGCGAGAGCCAAGAATTCCATCTTCCGGAAAGAATGCAGGCATGTTAAAATTCCACTCTGAAAGATTAATGTAGCTACTTTATGCGATATGTATTAAATGGTCATCTATTTATTGATAAACCATGGTTTATTCAGTAGCCAGCATATTCGGAGCTCAAAAGCTGTCCACAACTGTAGTTGGCTGAAATTCCAGCTCCTGAAACTGAAGTCTTTCTGTATTTAGAAGTGCAACTCTTCGAACTTCATCCCGCACTACCGAATTGGCGGAGACTGAAACAAATGTTAGATAACAAGCCATGGAAGAAGGCTTACATACTAACCAGTAACAATAATCTTTCCATCCCATTCAGCTAGCTCTCTTGCAATAATTTGCTCCACATTCATTCTTTCATGAAACACTCTTCCACGAGATGGGAAAAGTTTTGCTCTGTCTGCATCAGAATCCGGGCGATTGATGATGTATACGACAAAATGCAGAATCTATAGTTAGTAAGGTCAGTTTGAATCTTGTAATAGCATGATTGTGCTGCTCACCAAAGACTTGTCATCCTCCTCAAACAATTGATCAATCCAATCACGAACCCAATTTTGATAACCTGATAAAGATGAGTTAATTGTTACTCTGTGTAAAGTCGTTTTTCCTTATGAACTTACACTCCTCACTAATCTCCCACAGCAAGGTGATGCGATACCTGCGTAGCCCTCCACCACGATCCACCATTGATTTTCCAGCTGAAATAAAAATTCGCAGCAGATCCCGCACATATGGTAATTGGCCAGCCACGCCAATATCTGTTGCAAACAACATCACTGAATCATGAAACTTCATTTCATCCCAGTGTTCTCGCTGCCTTGCACCTCCATACGGCCCGTCCACAATGGCTCGCAGTCGTCGATGTGGGGTTAGAGCCAACGCCATAGATAGCCCAGACTGAACTCTCACAATCACAGACACTGTAGCAGCTGTACCATCTGGTGCATCCTCCCATCAGATTATATAATAAGGACACGAGCAAGCAAATGACCAGAAGCTCCCCGGAATGGGTACTGTCAGTTAAATATACTGACCAGCTTGTACCTTCCAAGGCCGGGAAGGGGAGAAAGTCAGCTCCACAACACCTGACCGTTTCAGTACTTCCACAACCTGTAGTGACTTAGTTGCTGAAAAATTGCGAAATATAATCTGAATGCAATGAATAATGAATGTGCAAACTAGTAGGCTAGCTGCTAGTAAAATGGAAGCAGTGTCAAGAACTCGTGGCTCTTTCAAATGCAGTCTTAACATGATCAATGATGTAATACTGAGGAGAGCATGAGCTGTTGTCCAGAACTGATAGGACCATGAACGTATCCAGGGCAGCGCAGTCACAAAACTCGCTGCGAGTGCTATGCCCGCCTGATAGATAATTAGCTATATTCATTAACTAAGAATACACGTACAAATCAAATTCAATTCACCACGAAACCAAAGCGTAAAACCCGGTCACTGAACTCCATAACTTTATCCCAAAGGACAACAGATACATGCAGAGCTGCTTGAAGAACAGCCATAATTCCAAGAGCCTGATGTAGATGGCGGTGTGCTGCAAGAGAGATTCCCAACTGATCAGCAGCAAAGCTGAATTGCCGAGTGAAAAATAGTGGGACAAAATGAAGCATGGCAAGGGTTCCTGCTCTTGAACTGACTTCCTGGCGATCTTTTACACCAATGAAATTGCATATCAAAGTGGTAGCCCAGTGAACAACCCAGAGAACGGCTCTCCAGCGGGTGATTGGTTCAAAGAAGCACCAACGTTGAATCAGGTAAGGTTGTAGGGCACGGTGGAAGAGGAAACGGTAAAGTAGCCGGCGCAGCCAAAATATTACTGCGACCCCAGCGGCAATGCAGATGTATATTGTAAGAATATCCATGATTTAAATTATTAATTGAAAGAAGTGCAAAAAAGAGGGAAAGTCAAGTAATGAACATTTGTAAATAATTTTTGCCTCATAAAATGTCATTAAGTATGTTTCTTACAGGCCACGCTTCTCAATGGCCGTGGCTTCGACCTGCACTAGCTGTGGTAAGAATGCTTAGCAACTGGTGAACCTGGCATGGACCTCACAGATTATGATTGAAGCGCTTAACTAGTGGTCACAGATCATGATGGAAGCGCCCTGATATTTTTAGGGTCTATATCCCGAAGATAGTTTCACGAAATTGTTTCATAATATACAAGCCGCAATCGCTCGCTTGCGCTCGCTTATTCAGCTTGAAAACGCGCCGTTTAATCCCTCAGGCAAATGTAATGAGATATCCAACAGCTGCATGTGATTTGTATAGATGAAAATTCCATGTAATCTACAGCGTTAATAGAGAACAATCATATGAATCATGCTGCTGTCTGTACAGAGAATAGCCATCCTCTTCAACAGCTGTAGCACTTTAAAAAGTCTTGAGAGAATGTTTCATACACCTGCCATTTTTGTGACAGAGGCTTATCATGCTAGCATTATATGAATCATGAATTATGAATTTACAAATCAATTCATTCAATCTGTTTATATTTTCAGCAGTGTTTAACAGCTCTGCAGATATAATGTCATCAATCATTTCAAATTACAACAATCATTCAAAGTTCTCTAATTAAATCAACAAATGCATTTGAGACAGTTCACATTTTTGATATTCAATTGTTCATACTCTGATCAACATCAGTCTGAACAGTTGCTCAGATTTGAGAACATTAAGAAAATGAAAAACCTTCATTATAAAAATATATACAATCATATCTGAGCCATTCATTGCAATTTAATTAGAAAGCAACTCACACATAATCTTCTTTTATTCAGAATTAATCATAAATATAACGAAAAAAGTTAAATGTTTGTAGTTGAAGACAATCATTATAGAATTCTAAAACAGTTTATGTATTAAACATTCACTGTCTGTATGAGATGTAGATAATATCATATAATGATCAAATTGCTCACAGTTCATATCATCTGTGTGTATAGCATGACATAGATCATCATATTGATCAGCATAAATTTCTGATTAATAAATATAGATTCAATTCAACTGTTGTTCATCAATATTAATGTAGACATCAATTAAATACTACTGAAACAAATATCTGATTCAGAAAAGAGAAGTATCAATAGCATCTTATTGAAAAAGATGATATGCATGCCATATATATAAAATCAGATTATAGCTGCCATACTCATCTTTATTTTCGATAACATCATCAACATCATCATCAAAGCTGTTGCAGGCAGATGGGAAATTTGCAAACACATTCATATCAATATATCAACTGTGATTTTCAGAAGAAATAAGTAGAATGTAATATAATAAAAAATATAATGAATTATAAAAATCAAAATATGTAAGATTTAAATCAGCACTGAGCTGTCATAATGTTAAAAAAATGATGTAAGAGTGATGAGCATCACTGAAAATGTTCTATATAACAACTGCAATTTCTAAAATAGTAGACAGATTCTCACAGCAGTGATCACTATCTGCTTTTAATTGTATAACAGAGTTCAAATCAACACATATAGCAGAGCTGCTTCATAATGTCTCTCATACAAACTAATAAAACTGAATAAAAGAGTTAATTTTAAAAATGTTAACAGTCAACAATATAACAGAAGAATGTAGAAAAGTAAATGAATAAACAGCAAACAACACAATATGAATATGATTAAATATATTAAAATGTATGACAGAGTTTGCATAATTTACAATTTTCACATCAAATTGTAAATTGTGAATTTACATTTATGCAAAACAAACATTCTCATCTGATTCAGACTTTAATAATTTTTGCAAATGATATAATTCTCTCTGTATTTAAAATAATATTGAGCTGTCAATAATGAGACAATCAAGATGTGAATTCTGCTTGCATTTAAATGATGTAAATGTCAGAGCAGAGTTGTAATTCTGAATATATTTGTGAAAATACTTTATATCAGATGTATTGTCATTAAACAGCTCATGTAACTCTGATGAAGATTTTTTAATAAATGATAATCTCACAGCATCTCTTGCACAGCATGTAAAAAACATTGAAAAAGTTTTTACAATTTGTGTACACATTCATCAATTGCTACCGAGTCTCTAACCTAGCAAGCTTCTCACTGGTATAAGGTAAGGTCGGGGCTTATATAGTGTTGCTGAGCTTGTTCACGAAGTCAGGAGGTAGTGCCACTATCACAGGTTAAGATATAACATCAAGAGGAATATCTAGAATGACTAGCAATAGCTACGGCGGCGGCCTGAGGTAAACAGTATGAGTACCTAGTAGGGCTTACAGGTAGGGGCGAAGGCTTAAGGTATGCGTCGTGAAGAAGTATACTTAAGGTGAACTTATAGTATAAGTAAAGGTAGTAGAAGAGTAAGTAAGTAAGATGAAATTGATCGTGATCAAGAAGATAAGCTCCTTGATCCTAAGGGTAATGAGTGTGTTTATATACATCTTGAGATACATGAGGATAGCTCGGATAGCTCTTGCCAAGATAGCTATCAGAGCGAGGATAGCTGTGATCACTCCGCTCACTCGAGTGATCCGAGTGATCCAGGTGATCCACTATGTCACGTGACCTATTGTTCCTATTGGTTAACCGGATCTTCCCTTATCCGATGTCTAGCTTGCATGCCCTCTACCATTTAGTCGTTCCTTGTCCAATGGCTCTCAGGGTTGTGCCGTAGGTTTGTAACATCAATTCAATATTTAACTTTGCAGGCAGAGCAGTAGACATTCATTCAATCAATAATGAATTTATATATATATGGTCAGCAGATTCATCTGCTGCAGGAACTGCAGTGACAAATGTCAAACAATAATATTTGATATCATAGACATATTCACAATTGAGAGTTCAGCAATTGATGCAGTTCTTGAAAATATAAATAACAATGTGAAACAAATGAAATAGATGATCTTCACAGCACACATTACAATGTGACAGTTCAATTCATTATGAGTTGAATATAGAAGCACCTATATCTCTTAATGGCAGATGAGAGGTTTGAACTGAATATATTTCATATATGCAATGCTAAGCTTAACAGCACATAAAGCATGTACAGAATAATGCATTGAATTGAAATCATTCAAAAACATTGAATGAATGAGAATCCCCACACACTGAGCAGAAGTGTATGAAATGAGTATATTAATAAATACATATAGATTGTAATAAATGTAGAAAAGAGTATAAAGAATATAAATACAATAGAGAACATCTGTAAAGAAAATAATGAAGATTAATATCAAAGCTGTACAGACTGCAGAGCCAGCCATTTAATTCATTTATGGATTTGATGGGATGCATGTGATATCACGTGAGGTCACATTACAGTATTTTTTTTCACGGAAAAAGTTTATCTCAGTAAACTCAGCCACTCCACTCCGAGCTAACCCAATCCGAACTACTGCTACTTTCTGCCAAGTCCTGCTAACATCTGAGCCAATCAACTGTCACGGGGCTTACACTAAACCTAAATGGGACATCCCCAGCAAACTCTTCGCGGAGCGTCTGAGAAAAAACGGTTCCTGTTTGTTAGCAACACGGGAACGATTTGCTCCAACCATAATGTTTGAGATAGAATCACTGTGCAACATCACTCATAGATCATTTCTCTACCACCTTGGAGGGTTAATTTTTCAATTTCCTGTCGATTGATGTAATTTTTATCTGAAAATACATATATTCTGAGTATGAAGTGTCGCGTCGAAAACTGCTACTATGATTTTGAACACGGGAACGATTTGCTAATTTTTCAACCATGATCATGTCTAGTCATCCAACGCCTTGATCTTGCCATCAAAACATCTATCCAGCCATCAGAGACTCTAGTCAAAGCACCGAGTGTATTTTCCAGCGACTTCCGGCAACTTCTGGCAACTTCTGACAACTTCTGAACTCTTGGCAACCTCACGCGGCACATCAACTTCTGACAACATCTCTGAACTCCTGACAACTTCTGGGATCTTCCGACAACTTCTGAACCAATCACATAACACTTCTTTTTGACAGCTGGGTCGGACAACGTCCCATCAACTGCATCAAATATGGCCAAGGGGGATCGAAGAAAACGCGCAAGTCAGCTGCAACAGCGGCTTCAAAAGCCATCATTAAAGCAAATACTTTCAATGAACATTGAAGATATGCCACAACTTGTCATGAGCTATGCCGGACCAGATAGTATCGACAAGCAACAGGATGTTATTCAGTATTGTCTTCAACGAATACTTCAAGGCCCGCGTCCAGATCCTGAGTGTACTCTTCAGCCACGCATAGAACAAGTCCGTATACTTCGGCGCATGATATATGGATATAGCGACACTTTATTCATTGCCAGAACTGGCTATAGAAAGAGCCTTATTCTTCAATCCTATACAATTCTGACAGGAAAGATAACCATTCAACTGGTTCCTCTAAACAAGCTTGGTGATCAGCAAACAAGAGATATAGCACGGTTTCCCGGTGCCAATCCTTGTCTGGTCAGTGCTGATAATCTCCAGGGGCAAGAAGACTTACTCAAACGCATTCAACAAGGTGAGTATACACATATACTGCTCAGTCCAGAGCAAGCTCTTTGCAAGCGATTTCAGCATGTTCTTCAAGACCCTACTTTACAAGAAAAGATTGGGCTTGTAGCTATCGATGAGTGTCATCTTGTCACACAGTGGAGTTAATTCCGTAGTCAGTTTGCCAGGCTGGGGCACCTGAGATTGCTTCTTCGTGAGGATATTGTCTGGTTTGGCTGTTCCGCAACCCTCAGCAGTAAAGCTGAAGATATCATTCTTCAAGAGGCTGGATTTCGTTCTATTGGTGTAAACCCACGGCAGACTCAGGTTATTCGAACTTCCATTAACCGTCCTGATATCTTTATCGGCGTACATCCGATTCCACGCGGTAAACTTGTATCCTATGATATGTTATATTTTTTATTGAACGAAGCCATTGATACAGATGGAAAGATCATACCTCAACACATTTTAAAGACCATTGTCTTTATTGACAGTCATGTCAAGGTTCAACAAGCAGTGCAATATTTCCGATCAATACTTCTTCAGATCTGTCAGAATAACAGGCAGAATGTCAACAATACTGACACCTCTTTCATCAATGACACCATTCAGCATTTCACATCTCGAGTGTCTGAAGTGGATCAGAATATTCGCTTCGAGGAGTTCATGAAACCTAAGTCAATGTATCCAGATCAGAATCGTGATTGAATTTTGCAAAGAAGGGAGTATTGATAAGGCATTTCAGCTCCTGTTTAAGCAAGACAGTATAACGTTGATTATCATTGAATACCCCTGCTTTGGAAAGTGCTGAATATAGTGCATATCGCCGCTTCGTAGGAGTACTGTATCGTCGATGAGTCAAGATATCGGGACTCTGAATCCAAGCCTCTATAAAGGCCTCCATTCCCCAACTGTTTCGCTGTAATGTTCTGACAACGCGAGATAATTTTGACCGTCTTTTCTGCCGGTTATAAGGCATTGTAGGCAGGTGCTGTGGGCCACGGCGGTTTGATCGTGAACAAGCTCGCGGGGTATCGGTATCAGTATCGGTGATCTCGAATTCCGAAGGAGTATCAATAGATTCAAGCTCTGTTAAGTCACTGTCTGATGTGTCATATTCATCATCTACATTGTTGGGAGACTGTAGTGGTTGTAGAGAGGATTCATCTTCGAGTGATGAAGGATATTGGCTGGAGCGCGTCTGACATTGGGTGTCTTGAGATTCAAAAGACACGCTGTCTTTTGTCAACGATTGTGACATGATGAGAAGGGGTAGTGAGTTGTAAAATAGCAGAGATGATAGCAGAATGGCTGAGGATTTGAAAAATATCGGTTTGGTGATGATCAGGCAGATATTTAGGGTAGATGTATGATTTCGAAGTCAATCGAATATTTTGTATGGGCGGTGTTGATTTTCCGCACACGATGGAACCGTTTCTTCTCAGACTCTCTACGAGATATTAGGTTGCGAGCACGTGTGAAGTCTCTTATTGGTCCAGAAGTTAGCAGGACTTGGCAGAAGTCTAAAGGAGTTTAGTTGGTCGCGCTAATCCGAAAATATCGAGAAGAGAGGCTGAGCATGCTGAGATAAGAAAAAGTTGGTTTTTCTACAATATAAAGAGAGATTATCTTTGTTTATATCTTTGTTTATTCTTGCCTCTTTCCATTATACTCTCGCTACCGCTATTTTTATATGTATATATATATGGATGTATGTATTTCGCACATCTTCTTTCTCTTTCTTTTCCTTCTTAGCGATTAGCTACACTACTATTATTACTACTATAATTACTATTGCTATTATCTTCCACTACACTATATACCATCTTCTACTATTCACTCTTCACACTGTCAACATGGCATGTGGGGACAGTTGAGAAGGTGCTTACTATGGCAGCCAGAGGGGTCCTCCCAGTTTTCCGTACAACGCCCATCGCTACCCTATACCGGGATGCTGGGCTCCCATCAGCAATGGTAGCTCTGGAGGAGGCCAAAGTTCGATTCGCGACAAGGCTTCAGGTGGTGGATGAGAAGCACCCACTGGCTTCACGGATAGCGCCTCCAATGATCACACGAGGAAGAGGGGCTGGAACCCGGCAGCGCTCAAAGACCAAGATCCAGCGGTTGGGGGCGCTGCTACCTGCAGTCAATAGACCCACACTTGCCATCCCACACTACTCAGAGGGATGCGGGACAGACCCCACAGAGGGTGTAGACAAAAAGAGTGCTGCTCAGGCATTCAAGGAATGGTGGAGAAGTCAACCCTCAACAGATCTATATGTTTTCTCAGATGGATCAGAACAGAACCTTGACAACAGCAGGCAGGTGGGCTATGGCTTCATAGTCTATCAGGGAAATAAACAGCTGGCCAGCTTCTCAGCTGCGCTGAGCCCTATGTCACATGTCTTCGACGCTGAGGCAGTTGGTGCCTGCCGGGCATTAGAGTGCGCCGTGAAGCTCCTACCTTGTGTCACAGAGGACAGCAGCAACCCTCAGATCTGGCTCTGCCTCGACAACACCTCAGTCATCTGGGGCATACGGGGCAGTGCAGCAGCCTCCTCAAACTGGGCCTACAACCGCTGCCATGAGGTCCTCAGACAGCACAATGTCGGCCTGAAATGGGCTCCTGGGCATATGGGGATAGAGGGCAATGAGGAAGCAGACCGCTTGGCTAAGCGGGCAGTCTCATCCACTGTAGCCCCAGCCTATGGTCTCGAGGCCACACCCACAGTCAGTGGGGTCCGCACAGTGGCCAAGCAGCTCAGCCAAGAGGCAAGGCGAAAGTGGTGGAGTGGAGCCTATGGCAAGCTCTCTGACTGGTACCGGGGCTGGAGTTTCAGCAGGCCGACTGGGGAATACCAAGTGAAGGCCCCTCCGGAGCTCACCATGCCACGGCATGCCCTTCACCGCTGGCTCGCACTCCGCTCCTCTCATGGGGACTTCTCCTGGTACCACAGGCGTTTCCAGCATGCAGATGCGAGGCTCACCTGTGTCTGTGGACACAACAAGAGCCCAGAACATTTGGTGCTCTGTCGACACTCACAGAGGCACTTTCTTCACTGGCCCAAGAGGCCAGCAGCACGGCCACACAACCGGGCGACAGCTGTTGCCTATCTAGGGTCTCTGACCCCTACAGACTTTGTAGAACTGCTGGACTGCACGCAGTTCTACACACGGTACTGCACAAGGTAACGCAGCCGGCTGGCTGCAAACCATCTGACAACCCCCGCAGCAGTTCCACGAGGCCGGCCTGCTGAGTACACCCACGGTAGCTAGTGCAACTGCCAGGGACATCACAGTCTATGCAGACAGTACAGATAGCACAACTAGGCTCATCTGTCTCAATTAGCTGTGGTGTAATCAGTACAGTCTACGTGTCTGACTCAGCTGATATGGTTTTGACTGCCGGCATTGTATCTACGCGTGCTCTGCTTTGTTTTCCTCTCGTTTGCCCTTGTCTCTATCGGCTCAAATGCTTCTTCTTCCTTCTTTTCTTTGCTCTCTCTGTCATTCTCTGCTCTTTTCCTGTCACAACCTTCTTCAGTGCTCTCTCCTTCATTATTTATCTTGTCTGTCTTTCTTCTGATGTTAGAAGCACAGACAGCTTTCTGATCAACTGAGAGAGGTATCCCTCTCTGCTCACTATAAAGCCTTCCAGGCACGGCAGCGGCGGTCCCCTCAGGGAACCACACTATAGCCCCACCATGAATGGCCATACGTCGGGCCAGAAGTGGATGCGCAGCTCAGAAAAATCCTTTGCAATGAGCTGAGTCTTCTCAAGAGTTGCCACCTGGATTCTGTTTTCTCTCTCTCTCTGTGTACATAGAAATCTCTCCAGCGTAGCACGTCTCCATGCCCTTCGGGAGGCTTCTGAAACACGGGCGCTGCCCGTGTTTTCTCCGGGACGTTAAACCTATACATACATACATACATACAGAGGTTAAACAATTAATCAACTTAAAGAATTCAGATACTGACTCCTTTGTTATTTCTCCACCTGCCCGATTGCCCGCCATTATTCCGAAGCAACTTCCGATTGATGAGTGGCATCGCCGGCTTGGTCATATCGGTGAAAATAACCTATTGAAAATGGCCAGGGACTCCCGATTCAGCATTGCCATTATCAGCCCGAAGAAGCTTTTCTTTTATGCCACATATGTCAAGGTCAAGTAAAAGTGGGCTGTTTATAAAAATTCAAATCTTCACTGTGCCACCTGTAAAGCTCTTAAAATTTGGGTGGATATTTTCAGTGGAAGTGAGACTCTTGAAACCAAAAATGAAATATCCTCTTATACCGGCAAGAAACTTGCCATGGTTATAACTGACAATGTGACGTATATGAGGTGGATATTCCTCTTGAAATGCAAGGATGAAACATTAAAATATTTGTAGATCTTCAACCAATTCATCAAGAATCTGCTGGGCTGCAGCATCACAATTATACACCCTGATCATGATGAACTGAATTCAAACGCAGCTACAGCTTATATACTCAGTGAGGGAATCAAATGAAAACCAACCCCTTCTCATACTCCGCAGCAAGATGGGGTATTCAAATGTTCAATCAGATTAATCATTGAAAAGATCTGATATCTATTAATAGATTCTTCTGCTTCTGAAAAGATGTGAGATGAGGTGGTAATTGCAGTCATGAAACTGTTAAATCTCATACTGACTTCAACAATTTTATACAAAGGCTCTGGAAAATATGAAGCTGATTACTCTATATGAGGCATGGTTTGGATTGCTTCTATCAGCTCGTGGAATTCACTGCTGAGACTGCAAGACATTTTTTAAAATAATGTATAAACTTACAAATAAGATGGCCTTCTGTTTCTTAGAGCTTATTTTTGTTGGTTACAATGAATTCACTAATTATAGATTGGTTGATCCTTCCAATGAATGTCTATATATATTCAAAAATGTCATTTTCCAGAAGAATCTTCATCTTGCTGATTTGACTGCCTCAGCTATTCAGAATTCAAAGGCCTTGTCTACTGCTGTCAAGCAGATAGCTGCAGTGATTTTTTCAATTCTCAATTTGAATGAGAAGTTTATTGTGAAGAAAATTCTATCTATGCATCTGTTATTTCTAGTACCCATCAATAATTGATGAATTGATTATGAAATTTCGGTAAGAATATCTACCTTTTTGATGTAAAATACTATGATTTCCCTAAATTCTTCAATAGAATTAGAGGATACTTTGACATCTACAGAGAATATTACTGCAATTAAAAAGCCTTCAATAAAAAATGGCTTTGAAACTGAAGACCTCTCTTTCAATTCTGAAATTGCGGATTTATCAATTCTAAAGAATCTCATACATGCTAAAACTTTCTCTGAATGAAAGTTCTATTATGTCACACCCTTGGTTGTGCCAAGGCCCCGTGACGGCTCCACACGGCCCATCGTTTCCCTCGGATAATCCCATCTATCCCATAACGTCACGCAGGTGTCCGAACCGGTTTCCAACCACCCTATGACATCATTCGGATGCAATAGAAGAGGATCCGATTGATGAGATATGAGAATCCTGTTTCTATACGGGGTCAGTAGATTCCTTCTGGCAGATCAATGCAGCGCCACTGCGGAGTTGCTTCGGCTACCCTCGCTCATAGAGTGAGGGGAGGATGGCTGCCCGTTGTCTATATAGAATAGCTAGATGCTGGCTCTCTATTCCAGGAGCCAGCGATTCGTCTTTTATCTTTTGACAATAAGATACCAGAGTTACCACTGTCCTCATACAATATTCTTAGTGTGCCGAGTACCTCTGGTAGTTCAGTATTTGTATAGTATTCTACGAGTTCGCGGTTCAAGCGAGATAATCAAGCCCACCCATAAGGCTTCCCATTATATACCATCCTCCTCTGTGCCGCTGCCGAGTAGCAACCGCCTCGGCGCCGTCACATTACAATTCGAAGTTCTATTATCATGTCTGTGTCAAAGATGTTAACTGCTTGAAGCAGATTGAAGTCTGATGATTGATTGAAAGAACCTCTAATATAGCAGTTCTTCAGAGTCAATGAGTATTTGATAAAAAGTTCAATAATATAAATAAAATTATCTGCTATAAAATCTGCTGAATGATCTGTGGTAATTATCAATAAAAAAATGTCAATTATTCAAAGACCTTTGCATCTGTTGTTTCCATCTTCACATTTCAACCTCTCATGACAATCTCAGCATTCTGAGGGTGGCACATTCTGTAAATTGATATGATAAATATGTTCTTAAACACTCAATTGTTGACTGATGAATAGATATATATGAACCAGTTTACAGGCTTCTGTGAAGGTTGTGGTGATTTTGTTTGTAAATTAATGCAGAGACTTTACAGTTTTAAGCAAGCAGTGCTTTTATAATATGAGAAACTGTAAAAAATGCTATTGAAATTCGGTTTCTATGTCAGTTCTTATGATGCTGAGCTATTCATTCATGACACAAAGAGGGTTTATGTGACTGTATATGTGAATAATGTTTGTCTATTCAGTTTGAGAATCAAAGATCTGGACTGGGCCAAGGCTGAAATTGCAGCCAATTACAAGATCAAGGATGTGGGGGATTCAAACTGCTATTTGAGTATGAAGATTGAAAGAGATTTTAGTTCATTTATATTGTCTCAACCTCTTTTCATTAAGAATATTCTGAAAGAATTCTTAATGAATGACTGCCACTCTATGTCCACTTCTATGGAGGAGAATGTTGATTTCATGAATGATGATGAAGAACCAGTTGCCTACACAATGGAATTTACATTACATTCTTATCAATCAGATATTGAATTTTTACAATATCTTGCAATCAATACATATTCTGATCTTAGCTTTGCCGCGGGCTTTTTGAGGTGATTCAATGCTCACTCTACTTTAAAGAATTGAGCCGCATTCAAATGTACACTCTGATATTTACAAGGTTCGATTAATGAGGGTATAACCTTTCACAAAGACACCGATATTGAACCCATGGCATATGCTGATGCTGATTGAACTGGTAGAGATCTGGGATTTCAATCAACTATCAGCTATATCATCTATATGATGAGAGGCTCTGTTATCTGATGAAGCTGCTGGTAAACAGAAGTCTTTAAATCATCAACTGAGACTGAATATATTGCATCTTCTAAAGCCATCTATGAGCTTGTCTGTCTATGTGAACTTCTAGAAGATGCCAGCTTCATGCCTTTCCATTTCAATAATCTGGACACCAATGATTGCCCGATCCCCGCCTCAGCCAATGGTCTTGCTTATACAATCCATGCTGATAATAAATCTGTCATAAAGCTATCCTCTTCCGAAGCGATTCCGTGCCGCTTCAAGCATATAGAAGTCCAATTCCATATCCTTTGAAATCTCATCCACAAGAATGAGATATTGGTCTGATATGTCCCTTCCACTGAGAACACAGCAGATGGGTTAACTAAGCTGTTTGAAGTGTTGAAATACACACATTGAAAGGAGATTATTAAGATGAAGAGATAGGGGGGATAAAATGAGTGGAATTCTTTGCTGGTTTTTTTTTTTTTTTTTTTTCATTATTACACTTTTTCCAGCTGTTTATGTACCTATACTTGTTTGAAGGGCAAATTTTGTATGTAGCTGCGTGTACTATTTCTATAGGGAGCGGGGGTGTGAGACAACCACGTGTCTCGTGTAACGCTCTTACCCTATATAAAATGGTCCGCTTAGCTAGGAATTAATCAATCAAGCTTTACACCTTCCACAGAATGAACATCAAACATTTGATCAAGTTCTTGAATTATAATCTAGAAAATTGACAAGAACTAAGATATTATTGCTGTCTTGTGTGGTTTCAACTTGTAAGGGAGTTTGGATCTTTGTTCCATTTTCTTCCGGATATTTATGGGAGATATATCCGAATCTTCCAACCCAGTTAGCATTTTTCAATGGAAAACTAGGAATTAAACGGGTAAAATACATTTTGTTTCACATGTCCGCGGCACATAGGACAAGGCTTTGCTTCGTTCATTCTGCTTGACAGCATATGCTGATGAGCACACCAGTGACAAAGCACTGCATGCCCACAGGGAAGCATCACAGTGTCAATAAGCTGACTCATGCAGGCTTTGCATTCCAAGGTAACTGTGAGTTCTTTTGTTTCTTTAGGCTCCGGGCGTCCATCCTCCGCGCAATCAAGTCCTTTGACTGGAGTAACAGGTTCAGCATTATTTCTGTTAAGGGACTCCAGAAATCTTCTCCTGCGTTGCCCTTCATCTGTGGAAAGAAACCCGTCAGTGTCATTGGGGTAGCTCACAATGGCGCAGAGATAAAGAGATCGAGCTCGCTGAACATAACTCCTAGGAGTATCCCCTATATTTATCGCGGGTGCAGAGTGATTGTGTCGGTTGCTGTGGGCCATTGAGCCAGGCTGCGGCATCGCTCTATCGATAGTATGCCTAAGTCATCGACGGCTCGCGGTGGTGACTCTAGGAGGGCCCCTGAGACTCGTAAATGTTCCCAACATATTGGCTTGATTCTCTGTGGGGACAGTGTCGATGGGATGAGGCAAGGTAGGGCCATTGAGACCCCAGTTATTAGTTGAACCGCGAGGATTAAACTGTGTATTGTGGTAATCATCAGGCATGTATTGGAAAGTTTGGCCTTGAGATTGGTAGGAGTAAGCCGCGGATTCTGAAGCAGATGCCTGTAGATTTGCTGGTATTGTGGCACCTGGAGACGCGTAGCTGGGCCTCCCGGCCATGCCAGCCCGGTTCACGGGCATATACGCCCAATGATGGGATATTGGTGGGTTGGACGTCTGGCCGAACATATAGGCATTAGATGTGGAGTGTTGAGATGGGGGACTGATTGCTGCTGTTTGTCTTTGGTTGTTACTTGGAGGATCCGCTTGCGACATTCTATATGTCGAATGAAATAAGCAGCTGGCAAAAGGCAAGGAATAGTGAGAAGGGCAAGAAGGGAAATAACAGACAACTCAAACACAATTGATGCAAAGGGTATAATAGAGGTAAAAGCAAGGAATTAAGGCCAGAGAAATTGCGGGGTTCTTCTATCCTTTTATGCTGCAGAGAGGTGAAACAATATTTAATAGATGGCCATCTACGATGATACAGCCAAACCCGGACTGTTCCCAAGCAAAGAATTCGTGGCACAGCCCATAGCTGCGCATTAAGGATCCCGGGTTTACCAGACCCTTGTTGCAGGTGGCACCATGCCAAAATTGCGCATGCAACAAGGCAAACTCCTCCTTCCTCTTTTGCAAAAAGGGTAAGAGTGGATGACTAGGCTGCAATTGCACAAGGCAAGGGGCTGCCAAAACAAGTGAGAGACAAAAATTTGGCCCGGTCCTTGGTGCAGCAGTTGCAACGGGAGCCCATTCCAGCGGTGTAGTTCCCGGGTCAGCAATAAGTCGAAATGAGCAGAAATCACGGGCTGCCAAGTGGCATAGCAAATTTTGGCAGCCCACCCCTTGATTTTTTCAGGCCATCAATGCAATGAGCTAGTCAAACATAGGCTTGATACTCGCGGCAGGGCGTACAAGCCACCAGTTGCAATACAGCCGTTGGGGTGACAATAAAAAGATATTGGGGAATCTGGTGAGCATACCTCCTTGTCAAGGCCATGTCCGAGAGTCCCCCGATTCCAGCGTAGGGCGCCGGTGCCAAAACTGCAAATGAATGCATGAATCAGCCGCCAGAGATCACAATCGAGTTAAAAACACTGAGTCTCACCCTCCTCCTCTCCGCCCAGTCTGATGATCCAATGAAAACCAAATGTTTGTCTCTCCCTGTTTTGGACGATCACCCCTAGGTGTCAGTTTCCCAGCAATAAGGCCCCGGTGCCAAAACTGCGCATGCTCAGGCCAAAAGCTGTTCTCCTGCCATATGGACAGGGCGCAAGGAACATGATACAGCTAAACCCGGACTGTTGAATTCGTGGCACAGCAACTGCAGCTGGATCACACTGGTAGTAAGCGTGGTCTGGTTGAGTTTAGCAACCTTTCTGCCGGGGCCTAGCGGCTGAGGCAATGGGCTAGTGGTGATCGTCAAAACGAGCGAAAACCAAACATTAGGCTTGATACTCGCTGCAGGGGCCATCCCCCGATTCCAGCGGTGTATCGTTTCCCGGGTCGACGTAAGGCGCCGGTGCCAAAACTGCAAACGAATGCATCTAACAGGGCAACGAGCGAGCGGACAAGATGCACCAATCAGGAAAACACAGCCGCCAGAGATCACAATCTCCGTCACCCCAGAAGATCCAGGGAAGGCAAACATGCGCTGGTGATGTCCTGGGCTGCTGGATGACAGGGCTTCGGATTTCTGTTGGCAAAATATTAGACCGGCCGAGAAAGTGATAAAATACATTAGACAATGCCAAACATCAGCTATACCCCAACCCAAGGAGTTAAAACCATTCCAAATTCAGACAATGCACGACTTACGGGCCCTCGACTGGAAAAACCTTGTCATTATTTTAAGCTCAAAGTACGCGTAGCCATTGTGTAACCGCTAGCTTTATAAGTCAGGGGGATAGTCCAAAGTTCGCGCCCCAAGAACAGACCATATGCAGTAAGGCAGTTATTGGGGCTCATAGAAGCCATCACTTGCAATGGGAGGCCTTAATCCAGCTGTAATAGTTTAGAATTTGACTGCGCTGAGGTTTTCAACAGCATGCGGAATTTCTAATTTTCCGGGATTGGCGCAAGCAAGGATTATTCTATTTTTGAGTAGCCAATCATTTCCCTTTGATTTAACAAAATTATCAACCATCACATGGCAACCTCACAGCAATGTTGATTTTCACTTATCGGTTTCAACGATACTGAAACTCCCGCTGCGAGTTCCATACAGGAAGAGAGCCGAACGGAAGGAGAGTGTGATGCTTGGGGCATCCTTACACCACGAACTGTTCCCAAAAATCAAGCAATGGCAGCCATCACCCGCCGTATCACTGCCCCGCCGTCTAAATTGATAGTTATTTTTCTGCTATACACATTATGTGAGGCGAATAAACCGTCTTCACCAGGCCTACCATAGGCCTAACTCAGGGGCTGCATCATTTTCACCAATCAACAACCGCTCATCCAATTGCTGTAACATCACCAATACGGATTCCCCGGGGGCTAAACCAGATGGGCGATCAGGGATTCTGACTTGTAATAGAGTATTTTCAACAAGGCTGCTATCTTTGACCTCTCTCACATAGCAGCCGACCACATATGCCGGCCATGTCAGAACTCATTGATGGTGTGCGTCAGTTGCAGCGTGAAGACGACGCACCATGTCCAACAGATTCTTGATCAGCAGATCTACATTGGGCATAGAGCGGACACAGCTATGTAGCTGGAGTAGTGCTGTGAGGATAAAGCATCGATGAACATTACTGGCATAGTCATCACTCTTGAAGGGTAATCTCAACAAGAGCTCCTGGAGTTCATCTGCTACATCCTCCTTCCTAGACAAACGAGCTATCAGATCCAGAAGCGGCCGCAGCAGGCCGGTGGGTTTTTCCATCCCTTCCCTTCTACAACAATAAGTATCCCAGATATGAACAGCCTCTGATCGCCGTCCCACAATCCACACATCCATGTCTAAGCCGCCTAGCATTTCAAGTAGGTTAAGCCGGGAGCAGATGTCTGTTTCCACTGTATCAGACACATTTTCCGGAAGTGCCAATAATAATGATAGGATCTGATGAAGGTGGTGGGTCCAAGTATACCCGGCTCTCATCTGCATCAGACCGGGGAGAAGTTAGTGTATTGGAAGATATTTGAAGGAGGGGGTGACGGCAGTGCAGATGGGGCCTACGGAAATTTGGGACAGCAGAATCATAGTGAAAACTGATACTTTGGGGTTGCTGTTTGCAGATGGGGAGGTAAGAAAGTGAAAAGTTTCAGTTATGACTCAGTCAACACTTGCCAGCGAAGCAACCCGGCAACATTGGACATGTAGCGCCATCAAAGCATTGACTTCATCTCTAATGATGGGAAATTGCTGACAGAGGGATAGAATATCTTGCACTGGCCCCCCACAATCCCAAATGAATATACTGTTGTCGCTTGTGATAACTACATGCAAGTGTGTCAGGAACTTCAGTTTGACATTTTCCAGGATTTGTTGATAGGAAATAATTAGGTTTCTCACAAGACTGATAGAGTTCATCAGCTGTCTTTCGACTAGGGCAATTGCACATCAGGCTCTCGGGTAGCGTAGTGGGTGTGGGACTTGCTGGTAGCAGAGGAGCGGCTGAGGGTGGTATTGTTACCGCTGTTGCTGCTGCTGCTGTGGTTGGCGGTGTTGTGGAAACCACCCGAATCGGAGGATCCAAAACTGACGACAACGATTTCACCTTCTTCCAAATGAGACGGGGTGTGTAGTCACAGGCAAATCCAAGGCGCTTACACCTCCCACACAATGGGCGGCTTTCATCGCATTTTCGACTGACATTCAAACACTGGGAGCAGCCGGTACGCGACCGAGTATGTTTTTTTTTTGGGTTTCCATGAGGTTGAAGCATGAACAAGGACGGGATAAGGTATGCTGGGTGTATGGTGAGTTCAAGAGGCCTATGGAAAAGAGCAGACAAAAGACAGATCATTATGGGTTGCTCCTATCCTTCTATGCTTGCAGATAACCAGTCAAAACCAGGAAGTGATGGAAAAGATGATCAGATGAATAATTTCTTTTTAAAAATTTTAAAAATAAATAATGATTATAAATTATTTTTAAATAAAATATTTTAATTGAAATTTTCACAGAAATAAAAGTGAAAATGCTTTTAATATTATTTATAAAATATTTAAAAAATTTAAAATATGTTTTTTATATATTCTCTATTATATATTCAGATTTGTTGATTGATTTATTTAATTATATTATATTATACACACATATCTTCTCTGAAGAAGTTGCTATAAGTATGAAAAGATTAAAAAAAATAAAACATTATATAGATTTCAAATTTGATGTATAATTTTCTTTTATATTAATATATAATCTTTCTGAAATAAAATTAATTGCATTAAGAAAATATTTAAATAATATATTTGATAAAGAGTCAATACAATCATTCAATAGCTCAGCTGATGCTTCTATTCTTTTTATTTTTAAAAAATATAATGAATTTCATCATTATATAAACTATCAAGATCTAAATCAAATTATCATTAAAAATAAATATTCTTTATCTTTAACAAATGAAGTATTTGACAGACTATCAAGAGTTAAGATATTCACTAAGCTGAATCTTTGAAATGTCTATCATCACATACTTATAGCTGCAAAAGATCATTGAAAGACAGTTTGTAAAATAAGATATGAATATTTTAAGTATATAATTATACCATTTGAACGAGTCCCTGCAAGCAATCGCTCTGCTGCTACTCCACGTGAGCAATCACCCTGCTGCTGCTCACTGCGAGCAATCGCTCTACTGCTGCTCCCTTCATCATCATCGTCATCAATTGATTGAATATCAACCAGGTAGGTATGCAGAGTGACAAATAATTCAAAGATAAGAATAGAGAATATTTAGATCATGAATTAATGTTGAACTCAAATCTTCACAGTTAAAAGTGGTCAGTGAGACCATGAATTACACCTTTGATTTGATTGGTACAGCGACAATGAATCAGATTAGCAGAGGGAAATGCTTAGTGCACTTTATAAAAGAATAGATGATTAAAATTTACTCTTTTAAAGCTAAGACAAAAATCATCTAAAGAAAATAAATGAACAAGAATAGATTTGAATTGAGAAATCAGTTAAGGAATTAAATACTCAAGCAAATGCTTGAACACCAGTAATAGCCCGACCAATAATTAAACCTGCAGACAATAATGCATTAAGTTATCACTGTCTTAAATGAGTTTCTCTGACAGAGGGATACAACTACTCATATAGATGTAAAAATAAAATCATACAGTTGAGGGAGCAACGAGTGAAATACTTACTGTGGATATCGCTTTGCCCTTCATATGTTTGGGTAACGAACAGGTTTGCTACATGACGGCCGATATGGTATTCATCACTAACAGCATTACCACCAAAAATCTCCTGGAGGCTGTTGGAATTGAGGTCAGAATCACCATACTTCAAAGAGAAGAACAATGTCAAGAAAAAGAAGAAAAAGAAGCAAGCAAAGCAAAATAGAAGTGGGAAGGTTGAGGATGGACGCTTGGGCGGTTGGAAGAACAAAAACTCTGAATCATACGTTCTGGCTCCAACTAACGCACGATCACAATTCTGCCTTTTGACTATGGAAATCATCTCAGGTACAGACTTCCCCTCATCATTAAGCCTGGCAACGTGAATTGCCGCCAAGGTGCCATAAGCAGCATCTGTAGCAGCATCTGCGAGCTTTTTTTGCACGAGTTGATACCTAACGAGTGGGTTTCCTTTAAACTGTTTCCGCTCAAGGGCGTAGGTGCGCGCGCGATCAATACAGTCCTCCAGTGCACCCATGGACCCAAATGCAATTCCTAGTCTTGCGCTATTCAGACAGGTAAACGGGCCCACAAGCCCTTCAACCTCAGGGAGCATATTCGTTTCAGGTACCGGACAAGAATCCATTTGAATCATACCGGTGATTGATGCACGGAGAGCGGTCTTATTTTTGATCATGGGTGTCTCAAATGTGCCTGGTGGACAGCTATCTCGTTCAATAATAAAGCCCTTGATCTTGCCGACGCTCTCAAGTTTAGCCCAGACAAGGAAATAGTCGGAAATTGGAGAGTTGGTGATCCATGTTTTTGAGCCTGAGATTAAATAGTACCCCTTTTTGGTTGGGTGTGGTTTGGCGACTGTCTCCATTGAGCCTGGGTCAGAGCCATGGTTTGGCTCTGTCAATCCGAAGCAGCCTAATTTCTTGCCCTTAGCAAGATCTAGAAGGTATTTGTCTTTCTGCTCTTGAGTGCCAAATTTGTATATTCCCGTCATGATCAGTGAGCTTTGCACAGACATGCCAGATCGGTAGCCTGAGTCTACCCTTTCAACTTCCTTGGTGATGAGACCAGAGGCCACAGTGCTGGCACCAGCACATCCATATCCCTCAATCGTGGCACCAAGAAGCCCTAGCTCACCCATCTCCTGAATAATTTTCTTGTCGTAATGTTCATTTCGATACGCCTCTGAACAGAATATTTAGTTTCAAATCGATGCGCGCCACCCCGTACAGCTTGATGGATTACAGGCAATTACTGTACCTAGAACCCTGGGGGCTAGTTTTTCCTGGCAATATTTCCTTGCAGTTTCTTGGATAGCTAGTTCATCTTGGGTATATAAATGCGTCGTGGCTAGTGGGTCTTGCCAATTGAATTTAGCAGCGGAATGAGCGTATCGTGGGACGATGTTGTGCGAAGCAAAGTGGTTTATTGCATGGAGCCTCCTGAATGTGTGGTGAATAGCGGATGGATTCATATTGTCCCGTAGGATCGGGGATAAGAGCTCTAAAGTCGGGATGTTGGAAATGCCTGTAGAATACAATTCAATAGAAGCGGGAAGGCATATGATAGTCCCTTAGGTAAAACAAATACACTCACCCAAGCTGTCGTTAAAATATACTTGACAAAAGGTATTTCAGCAAAGGAGTGTGTTCAGAGTTGAGGTTCATTGATTCGAGTGCTGCACAATGCACCTTGTGAGTCGCAGGGTTTGAATGAGTTGAAGGCAACTGACCCCTCCAGCTTATCTCAGCGAGCTCAGACCCTCTGATGTAACGTAATCCACCACCCAACACCTGTTTACACCCAATGCATTCTTACAACTACTCACAAACATAGGGGTACATTTGAATTTCTTGCTTTTACATCTGTTTAAAATATAGTCTCAATTCTGTAATTCATTTAATATCATCTCACATTTTCTGTGATTGTTCTGTGTGTGTAATTTCATATAAATTGAGCAGTCATGAAGTGTTTAACATTCTCTCATTCACATAAAAGCATCAACACAATCTACATCAGATCACTAAAGCTAAAATCATTCATGAATTTTATCATTAAAAAGATTGAAAAGAAACAGAGAAAGATCATTATAATGTTTTCTTTAATTTTTTAAAAAAATCAATAATAATATTTTCATGATTATTTTCAATTATAACATCATTTTGAAAAAGTTTAAAAATAATAAAATTGACAACAGAAAATTTTCATTAAATTAATAAAAATTTTAAATAAATGAATAAAAAAATCTTTTAATTAAAACTTTATTTATATCTTTTATAAAAAGTTTATAAAATATATAATTGTAAATATGAACACACTATCTACATTGAAAAAAGACATTTTTTCAAATATTTTTAAACAAATAAATTCAGTAAAATCAGTTGCAAGAAAATCAATTATTAGAATGAATATTATTCAAAAAAAAAAAAAAAAAAAAAAAAAAATACATTGTAGCACACGAGCTGCAGTGTGCTAAATACTGAGCTAGTCCCAATTAGAAAGGCAGCTGTAAATAACACTCATAAACATCATCTCCAATCTCACCTCTATGATATGAAGCTCTATGTGTTGTGGAAGAATGGCATTGTTAGCTCATGTTGCAGAATTTGTGGCTATTGCAGCTGTGATTGCAGCTGCAAATCTGATTTAGAGTTTTATGTTTGTTCAAATTTCTGATGAAGCTGCTCCATTTCTTCATTGCAGGTAAGAAGATCAGACACTGCTGCACACTCAGAGGAATTATCTATATCATCAGAGTTGATCTCTTTATTCAGCTGAGCATTTTCAATATCTTCAATCATTAACTGATTTGTAACATTTCATTAACTGATAATGGCTCTAAAGTCTTCTGATTGATATTGATGTTAATATAATCAAGATGGTTAACTCAAAGAAAAGCTAATTATTATTTAATAACAGTTTTGTGAACAGTGAAATTATGACAAAATTGATAGAAGAGGTGAGAATCAGCAGATGTATTTGAGAGCTGCAAAACAATGATATCAAAGTCTTTAAACAACAGTGAAAGATTATTGTAAACACAGACAATGTTTTAAAAGAAGTTGATAATATGATTTTTATGTTTATATTGCTGACTGTGAATCTGACAGATTTTTACAAACATATAAATCTGAGCAATAAACACTTCCTCAATCTGATTTATAGAAGAAAGATTGAGAACTTGATCAGAGTTCAGATTGTTATTTGGAAAAAAAAAAAAACAATTCATTTATTTATTGATTTTTATCAACTGTAATACAGTGAGTGCAGATGTTATATACCCTAGTGCGCCGTCCGACGCGCCCCCGTCCGATCTTCTCCCGCCCTGATTGGCCGCCCGTGCGTGCTCCCGCTCCCGCCGCCGCGTGCCCGCAGTGGCCCGGTCGCGGTCGAGCTCCCTCTTCCCTTCCCTTCTGCGGCAGCCAGCCACCCCATTACTTCAAACTTTGCATGTAGGCCGTAGTGGATATGGAATACAACATATCCAAATCAAAAGCGATAAATACAACATATCCAAATTAAAAGCGATAATTCCGCCGGGAAGGGGTTAAATTGTGGTGTCAAAGTCAATGAGTTGAGGTGCGATGTTTGATGGGGTAAGCCACCAACCCAACCAGACCCAACTAAATATATATATTTTCACCCAGGCAACGGAGCGGTGCAAAGCGGTGCAGGATCAACAAAGTAAATAAAAATAGCAAAACATATAAGAAAACTGAAAGGCTTCATCCTGGAGTGATTTTAACCACAGAAAAACAAACATTCACACCAGATCAGATCTGTCAAGTTTCACACAAAGACACTGAATGAAGGAAATATATATATATTCAATGCACAAGACAGACCCAGCATCGACATCATGGAACATCGATTATTTATCCACTGTGAATCATACCTCATTATCATATGCCGCCGGTGCAAGCACGCTGTGTGGCCAACAGAGATTGAACGGCATCTGAAAGGCAAGGCCCATCAGCTAAAGCATGCGGTGGTTCAGCAGATAAAGGAGAACATTGAACAGTGGGACAATGTGGCTCGAGATACTACACAGTTAACACTGCCCACATACTACACAGTTAACACTGCCCACAATACTGAATGAACCAATCCCGGAACTACCCATTCAAGATGGCTACAGGTGCCAGCGGGATCCCCAGTGTCAGTATGTGGCAGGGAACATGAACACCATGCGCAAGCACTGGCAGAACAAGCACAGCTGGTCGCCATATCCCAGCCGTGGCCGTACAGCGCCACAAAAGCGTACGGCAGCACAGGATGAGGTGGACAGATCATGCCAGAAGGTGCAGTTCCAGCAGGTATTTGCATCGCGCAAGGGCTCCCACTACATACAGATCCAGACTAAGGAGACTACTGAGCACACCGGCACGCCAGACCAGAACAGAGCCAGCCATGTCATTGATGAGCTGGAGCGGTTTTACCGGGAACAGCAACGGCAGACCAGCAATGTCATCCAGGCCGGGGAGCACGATGAAGCCAACCCATGGCTGCGGCGGACCAGATGGCCGGTGTACTTGACCAACATCGCACCCAATGATCTGGTCAACTGCGTGCAGCGGCCCGAGGATGACACCACGTGCCCAGATGAACTGGCCGCGAGGGCCATCGGGAGGCCATGGGGCAGGTTGCCCGTACCAGCCAGCGAGTCATCACACGGCTGGGCCACTTCGTCCGCATCGAGGCCATCCGCACAGAGCGACACCAGACCCGGCACACCCCGTTGCAGGCATACATGGACGAGGAGAGGAGAGCATCGCCGAGCACGTGAGGCCATGGCAGCAGATGTTGATGTTTTTCGCCCGAACGCAGGTCGAGCATGAATGGACGAGCGCACAGTACCGGTTCACACCACGGCAGCGCAAGACATGGAGGGTATTATGGCAGGTAGCCACCACAGAGGGAGCCGACCAGCGACACTCCATCAGCCCAGACCCCATGGATGAGCAGATGACTGAGGAAGAAGAAGAGGAGGAGGAGAAGGGACAGAGAGATACCCAGCCAGAAGAAGAAGATAAGTTCAAATTAACCAAGATGCAGATGGCATGTTTGGATTTTTGCATTGAGCTGCTGAACCAGCGGGTTCAGGTGGAGGATTATGAGTGCGCGCTGGTAGACGCGTTGGCGGTGCTGGGACGGGGGGAGTATGGATGGTGCGACGCGGAGAGCTACCCACCAATATTGTCACGGATCATCAAGGTGGCACGGTTATGCCACACGGTGCTCAACGACCAGGTCAACTTCCGGCCCCAGATGCAACAGCTCGGCAAGCTGATGGCGGCCAAGACACAGATGGTGCTGCTGACGGCCACACTGCCACCCGGTGAGGAGGAGAAGCTGTGGTCCCGCATGCACTGCACCCGAGCGGACATATCATTGTTCCGGGCGCGGACATGCCGTCCAAATGTGGCATACCGAGTGTGGCAACCCATCATTGAAGGGTCAGAGTACGATGGGCTCAACCGATGGTTTCAAGCACCCAGCGTGGTCAGGTTCATCCAGGACCGCATGAGATGGACGGGAGAAGGTAAGGGGGTGGTGTACTGCCAGGCAGTGAATCAGGTCACGATGATGGCAAGCACATTGAGATGCGGGGCATATCACCACCACCAGATCAACAAGGCCGGCATACTGGAGTGTTTCCAGCAAGGTCAACACCAGGTCATCGTGGCGACAAGTGCACTGGGCATGGGAATCGACATCCCCAACATCCGCAGCATCATCCACGTCGGACGGCCGCGATCATTGCTGGATTATGGACAGGAGAGCGGGCGTGCAGGGCGTGATGGACAGGCCAGTGAAGCCATCATCATTGAGCCCGAGGGTATCAGTGCAGCAATGATATGGTCAAGAAAGGATGCACCATCACTGCTGGACCAGAAGCTGGTTGATCGGTACATGCAGGCAGGGGGTGAGGAGGGTGATGAACCGATGGCTCGATGTCGACGGGTGGTGCTGGACCGGTACCTGGACGGGGAAGTGGAGGGTTACATGAGACGGCACTGCGGTGATCGACACACAGGGGAGTCCCAGTGTGACGGGTGCGATGCCGAGTGGGAGGCCAGGGAGGCCGTGTTCACCCCCAGCCCAGGTGGCACGCCCACGCCCACACCCAGTCCAGGCTACAGTTCAAGAGCAACAGCCAAGGATGACTCCAGCGAGGATGAAACCAGCCAGGAGTCAGAGATGGAGAGCCAGCAGGGTGAAACCCACATCAGATTCAACGGCACATGCAGTCCCAGAATGGCCAGAAGTGTGAGCAAGAGCACAGACGACAACATAAATGAAAGCATCACCAAGAATGAAGCTTCAACTTCAGGCGGGAGCAGCCCGGGTCAATGGAACAAGCAAGAGTCAAGTGAAATCAGTGAAGACACCAGGGGCATCCCATCAACAACCAGACAGACATTCCACAAGCAGGATGTCCGTCGAGGCCGGTTCATCATCACACACCAGCAGCGAGGGCAGAGGGCATTGATGGATGAGGAGGTTTTAGTGGAAGAGGCGCAGAGGTGGAAGGATCAGTGTTTGATATGTGCAAGTGGCAAGCGGGAGTTTGACCATGAGCTGTACCAGTGTCCCCACGAGGAGAGCCAGGAGGCAAAGAGATGGATGATGACAGTGCGGAGCAAGATCAAATACACACGGTATTCCGGGTGCTTCCGATGCGGGATGCCGCAGTCCATATGCAACAGCTGGAAGACACAGAGGCAGTGTCCCGTACAGGGGATTTTTGATCCCGACAGTGGCAATGATGATGTATGGGTGTCACAGCAGCTGAGGGAGTTCAATGTGAATGCAGATGATCAGGAGGCGGTGATTGAATTTTTGAGACAGAAGGTTGAGGGGCAGGGCATCGAGCACAACCAGCTGATGGAGATGTTTTGTTGGCTGCGAGGGATATATCAGGAGGCAGAGAGGGGGAAGATCGAGTCAGAGGGTACAGGGGTCAAGTGATATGACGGGTGAGAGGCACCACAGGGGGATGAAAGACGTATATATATATAAAGGCAGGTGAAGCCAGAGACAGAGGGTAAAGGGATATAACATCGAGAGAAAGTAGATCAGGTTCAAAGGATCAGTTTCAAACAGTATCATCCCATATGATAATGGGTCAGGGTCAGGGTTACAAAGAGTGAGGGTAGAGGCTGGGGGGGAGGATGAGGTGGTCAGAGTCAGGGTTAGGGTTGAAAAAGAGTGAGGCTAGAGACAGGGGTGGGCAGTGAGGTCAGGATAGGCGGTTAAATTAGACGCAAACCCGTTAACCCTATCCAACAGGTGGGGGTGGAATGGACGTCCATTCCATTCAGGGTTAGAAAACCGACCAATCAGAGCAGGGCAGATTGGACGTACATTCCATTTGGTTTCAGACGTTGAACGTCCAATCAACCACGGAGTCAATTGACTTCAAACTTTGCATGTAGGCCGTAGTGGATATGAAATACAACATATCCAAATCAAAAGCGATAATTCCGCCGGGAAGGGGTTACATTGTGGTGTCAAAGTCAATGAGTTGAGGTGCGATGTTTGATGGGGTAAGCCATCAACCCAACCAGACCCAACTAAATATCTATATTTTCACCCAGGCAACGGAGCGGTTAGGGTTACTAGATCAACAAAGTAAATAAAAATAGCAAAATATATAAAAAAACTGAAAGGCTTTATTCTGGAGTGATTTTAAACAGAGAAAAACAAACATTAGTCGAACACGCTGGACCCAAACCCGTTGGACGTCAAACCCGTCCAAGGAGCCCATTCACCCATTGGACCCGAACCCGTTGGATGAACCCATCAACCTGTTGGAAGTCGAGCACGCTGGACGATTATATCAGAAGGTAGAGGGGGGGGTTCAAAAATATTGGAGTTTTAAAGAGCATTATCCCATACAATAATGGGCCAGGGTTAGGGTTACAAAGAGTGAGGGTAGAGGCTGGGGGGGAGGATGAGGTGGTCAGAGTCAGCGTTAGAGTGAGGGGTGTTCAGGGGTCGAACCGGTTGAACGAACCCGTCAACCCGTTGGACCCAAACCAGTGGGATGAAACCATTTAAAAGTCAAACCCGCTGGACATGCCCGTTGAAGGTTATAGGGTTAGGGTTAAACTATCCAAGTTCTACATAGTGCGTGGTCCGACGCGCCCCCGTCCGATTTTCTCCGTCCCTGATTGGCCGCCCGTGCGTGCTCCCGCTCCCGCCTCCGCGTGCCCGCAGTGGGGCCCGGTCACAGTCGAGCTCCCTCTTCCCTTCTCATATCTCATCTCTTCTTATCTTGTCAGTTTTTATTGGCCTTATTGGCCTGGCCTGCTCGCACATCCACGCGTCTCCACATTAATGCATTTATATATTGACGCATTCGTGCATGATTGCTGGCTGCTCACTCTCTCTCTCTCTCTCTTTTTTTTTTTCTTTCTCTCTCTTATGTTTTGCTCTTTCTTCTGATCTCTGACTGACCTCTTTTAAATATACTCTTTCAAATATTGACAGACAGCCAACTTTGATGAGAGATTTACTGTGAGAATGGATCTCTTTATTTATAATAGGTCCCACCGCCTGTGGATCTGCCGCCCATGTGGATTTGCTGTTGCTGTTGCAAATGTCCTCACCCACCTGGCTAAGCGGCACCGCAACCATCCCTCGGCCGCATCGGCAGGTCTCCGGGAGGCCGCAGTGGCTGCGATGATGCAGGACCAGCTGGAGCCGGTGTTTAGACCGCACTCAGGAACCCTGTTGCCCATCGCCTCTCGAGAGTGCTCCAGTCCGAGCCGGTGGTGTACTACCTCTGGCTGATTCTACCTTTCGCGCGGGCGGTCCAGCGGCTTGCATATGGAGACAGTGATAGCCAACGGGGGGCTGCGGTCACCATTTCTCTGGCC